ATTAAATCGTAGCTGTCTGATGACTGGTTTGAAAAATGATATAGATTCAGCTTGTCCGTTGTCTTCCACATTCGTTACTTCCATACTTGATACCTTCATATCAGATGACAGACGTTTGCAATAGTGTCTGCGTTCACAGTCTCGCCTCGATGAACTATCCGCGCTCTTATCTGTGACGTGGTGTTTTGTTTAGCACAGAATATCAGATGAACGCGAGTGAGTCTGAGTGTGGAATAATTGTTGATAAAAGCTTTCCGGAGGCAGTGACAGATGGCAAAACACAAATCCGTAACTCCGATTACACATGTACGTGACATTTCAAATCTACGAATATCAAATGGCTTAAAATACTGAACAAAACAAGAAACTTCACACATTGTACTTTGCGTCACAAACTTACCCATATAGAACAATGTGCGTTGCTAGTTGATAAATCTGATTGATGGACGTAATGAACATACCCTTAAACAGGATTAGGCATTAAGGTGCGCTCGGTCCAGCTCTAGAACATTCGGGGATTGACGTCTCAAGGAACGAAGACTTCTTCCTAGAGGTATCCCATACGTGTTTGATGGGTTTGAGGTCAGGTGATCTCGATGGCCCCTCCATGACATCAATACCAGCATTTTGCAGAAACCTTCTTATCAAATCAGCTGTGTGTAGTTTCGCACTGTCATGTTGGAATTGGAGGCCTGGACCATGAGCAGTCGTCAACGGCACCAGCTTCTGCGGGCATCCCGCTGAATTGACGTTTCCACGAATTACAAGAAGACGTGAGCGCAGGTTCCGACAGAAAGTTCCCCAAACCACTACGCTTCCTCCATGTCTGGGCGAGACGTTCGCCGCTTGCCACGCTCGAACTCTTCCCTCGGGATATCGCAACGTAAAACGTGATTCGTTGCAGTTAAGCGACCCCTAAACAGTGCGTTACTGGTTGACGTTGCGGTCGTAATACGATTACGCAAATGGCGTAGCCGAATTTAATAGTGTGACGCCACACGTGGCCTTCCTGACCTGAGGCGATCAGATGTCGTACCCGTTTGATGCACACGTGTCCTTGTGTTGTAAATTGTCCGTCTAGTCCATTCCATGTCACTTGCAACAGCCACAAGAGACTGGACAGTCTGGGGCATGCCAACTGGGCGATAAACATTTGTAAGTCGTGACAGGAGACTTGTTTCTCTCTCTCAAGAATTGTTAACGAGCTATTTTCTGATCACCAGCAAATTCTGCACACATGTTGGTGGTTAGGCACATGAAATTATTGTCACATGACACCGCACATGTACAGGGTCCCTTTCACAAAAGAGGGTGTGTATCCACCCATTATGGTACACCTCAATTGAAATGAGCGGATGTGTCAGGTAGACCTGGCCATTATGGTATTCGCCCATATTAACTACTTTGTATTGCCCGTTTCAATTTTCCAAATGAGAATTTTCTTTTTTGTTCAATATATAATATTGTTTAAACGATACTTTACTTTTGTCACTTTATTAATGTAACTTCTCTTTGTTATTACGGTTATTCGCTCTTAGTTTCGAATATTTTCTGGGAGAGGGGTTAAGTTCTTTATTGAAAATGGGAACACAAAAATTTGGGGGTGGGGGATGAGGTTTGCGTGTATGTTTGTGGGGTGTGTGTGGTATACTTAAAAGAACGGGAAAATTATCGAAATTACACAACCTCGCCCACAATATATTCAATTGAAGACTTTGTCACCAACATATCACCGGAACACCATTTCTGCACTGGTGAGACGCTACCAGAACACAAATAACGCCATCGATCGGCCACGTTCTGGACGTCCACGTGTAACAACGCCAAGACAGGACAGATGGATAAGGGTGACCCATCTGCGCCACAGGTTTCAGACTGCAGTGATGACTGCCCGAACCATCCCAGGACGTCGCCGTATCCATCCCAACACAGTTCGACAACGTTTACGTCATCACGGGATCAGACCACGACGTCCCGCCATACGGCCTATCCTGACACGTCATCGACAAGCTCGCCGAATGTGGTGCCGACATCATGTCCGCAGACCCTTGTTTTGGTGGAGAAATGTTGTTTTTACAGATGAGTCCAGGTTTAACATTTACCATAGTGATGGACGTCAACGTGCCTATAGACGCGTGGGAGAAGGTTATGCACATGCCTGGGTTTTGAAGAGGAATCGCTTTGGTGGTGGTTCCGTGATGATTTGGGGTGGAATAACAGCACGCCAAAGAACTCCTTTGGTGATTGTTCAAGGCAACTTAACACTGGTGTGGGCTACAGGGATCAGATTCTTCGACCTGTGGCAATTCCTTTTCTGCAACGTCATGGCCCTGGGTTAACATTCCAACAGGACAATGCCCGCCCTCATACGGCAAGGGTTGCTATGGATTTCTTACAACACCACAACGTTGACTTACTGCCTTGGCCTGCAAATTCACCGGATATCTCCCCGATAGAGCATGTTTGGGGCGAGATGGATAGACGTCTACGCCGTCTTCCTCATCCGCCAGATAACGTCCTTGGCCTTGCAACAGAATTTGAGAGAATCTGGCGTGACGTCCCACAAACCTTCCTTGCACGTTTGATAGGCTCTATGCGTCGTCGATGCACTGCTGTGACTCGTGACGTCATTGTGATTGACTTTTCAATTGAAATTGACTTGCTATGGACTCATGATCCCTCCATTAAAGTTTATATGTACCTTTGTTATTGTTATCGTACTTATCAAGTGGGATAATATTTTGACAATGCACAGTTTCTTTATGTGGCTAGTATGTTTCAACATGACACAAGCGTCATTGTAAGATTCACGTTATATGTGTGGACACTTCACAGTGAATAATGGCACTGGGTGATTCAGACAGTGTTTGCAGAACGCTTCACGGTCAGCCTTTTGAGAGCACGTCATTACTACAGTCGTCCAGGTCGTGTCATGTCTGGTTCTTTATTGGAAGGTGGAGAGCTGCTTCCAATACACCTACTCTGTCAGCTAAATGGAAGTCTAATAACATAACACACGAACCATTGCGCTGGCATATTCGGAATGTAATGGACATATTTGCCATTGGTAAACTGCCCTTTGTAGAGAAAAATGATCATGTGGGTTTTAGTAGGATATTATTTGAACTTGTAAGGTTAATAACGGGCCACAGTGAGTGGGTGAGTGAGTTAGTTTATTTTTACGCCGCTTTTAGTAATATTCCAGCAGTATCACGTGGAGGGACACCAGGGACACCAAAAATGGGCTTCACACAATGTACCCATGTGAGCAATCTAACCTGGATCCTGGGACGAGGAAACGCTTTAACCACTAGGCTTCCCCACCGCTCCAATGGGCGACAAAGGGTCAGCCAAGTTAAAAAGCATTGTCGAAAGCAAATTAACTCATACATTTTACTAAATGGTGTTGAAGCTTCGAATTCATGACTGGGCTTGATTCTATATCTTGTTGGTTTAAATTATCAATAGGCAGTTGTTGTCACATCTGATAGTTACACCAATAGACATGTGTTTCAGGATACACCAGATAATGGGGAAATGGAATAACAATCCCATGGCTATTTCAGCACAGTCCACACTATTATTCAAACAATCCCACCCAACAGATAATCAAGAACAAAAAACTGACAAACATACTCAGATATGGCTAAACATTTAATTATGACTTTGTATTACATGTAATGAATTAATGAACATGCTGGATGAAAAAGAAATATGAAATTCCTCAATAAATACTATACTTTGGTTGGGTTGAACAACTTCTAGCTATGATTAATGGTAGCACCAAAACTCCAAGATGAATCAACAAGAACGTCCAACTCTGGTAAGATACACATGATCACGTCTATCACATCAACTCAACTCTACTCCTTCATAGTAAATCTGGCAGTGTTAAATCAAATGCACACCCTGTTGCATGCACGCTAGCATGTATTATGCTCTGGCCTAAATAACAATGTGTGTTTCCCATTTCATCCTACCCACATTCATGAAGCCAGTCCTTATTTGGCTACAAAGTATATCAGTAAAAGCCAATTTCAGTTTATTATGACGCATTGCCATATTGAGGATAACAGCGCCACGTTTCAGAGAGCTATCGTAGCACTACGAGTTTCGTAAGTTAATGTTACAGTATAGGAGATACGGCAGTTGTAGCACTACCATAACTTGGTGAAACGAGGCCCTGGTTTATCTGTTTTTCAGTGCAACAATTGTATGCACTTTCACAAAATTACAGAAACTTTGGCAAACCTTGAGAAAAATTGAATATTCAGGGCTCTGGAAACACACATTTATTAGGAGTGATGGTAATACTGAACAACTATTGTTAATATGATCAAGGCACACTAATCATAATCATATCGAGCATTTTCATATCAACACAACTCTATCTATTTACAATACATACAACTTGCAACACAGGAGACAATCCCAATAAATGAACTTTCTACACCTGATAATTTACAGAAAACTTGCAAATAATTCCCATTTAACATTTCATTTTAGTTTAGTGTATTTAAGTGTACATATACAAATATTTTTTAATACATTAGTATATTCTGAAGTAATTCACACGTTCAAATATAAAAACAAACTTTTTCTCTGGTAATGAAAGATAAAAATTTTACAAGTATTTTAACCACACACTTCACCTTTTCATAAAATCAGTTTATGCCTGGCTAACAGCAGGGGTTTATATGTTGGACATCTACCCCAAACTAAAGTGATATCATCTCCTCAAATAGAGACATCAGACTATTCTGATATTATTCATTACACATTTAAGTGCAATACTGAAACTTATTACACTAGTGTAATACCGTGAGATGTATGATGTCATAATGGTTTACAGTTATGACATCACAATGCTAAAAGCTCTGTCACAATGATATTAGACCTGGCTGGACTCGCGGAAAGCTGAGAGTCATTACACTGTAGGCAGTTTCTATCAATTTGTGTTGGAGAGGAATAAACAGAATACTAAACTCGCTTCCATGAAATGCCATTTCTATTAAACTCGTGAAAGATTTAGTATCAAACTCGCTTTCATTATCATTAACTCGTTTCATAAAAATGGTATTACACGATAGGTCGTTTAGTATCCTCTATAAATCTTATATTTTAATCAGATTTACTGCTAATCAGAAACAGATGTGTGTACATGTGTTCAAAAGTGTGTACACCACATTGTGTACAGATGTCAGGACGTATGTTTGTAATATTTGCTTTGGTAAGATGTAACTAGCTATAGGAACTAAACATCACGATTACAATACACAGGAACATTCCATGCACAGGGACATTTCCATATTGATCAACTCTCGCCCTGGCACACAAATCCTGGAAATATTTGACCCAATATTCACGATAAAATATCTAGGAAAAATAATGACAGCATCAAGGATGATGCAAATAATTCCTCGCAATTTCAGAAATATACATACTAAACCGATAATGTCTTAGACCCTTTGAATTGGCGAAATCATAGTGTAATCAAAGATGAAAACAAACTTTTATATCACGTTGGGGGTGATCAGAGAATTCCATTCTGGCTAAATACAGATACAGATATACAACAGTTCAGCCAGTCAGTTCACTGCTGCCTGGAGGGGCAGTGTAATTGAAAGGCTGTGCTAATCTACTCCTAACACACTTGTCTCGATGTCTGTCTGGGGTGGATTTGTTTCTCAGTGTTATGAAAAGAACTGAGATAATCATGATAATGCTGACCAAGGCATCCATAGCAACGAAAAGTCAGTATGAAGTCAAAACTCTGACATAGTTTTCACAATACATGGCTGTAGTTTTCAAAATGCATGGCTATCAACATACATTTAGCACACAGTTTGAGAGGCATGACATTTGTCATTTTTGTACAAATGCTGAAATGCAAAATCAATTTGCAACAAGCTCAGGATTCAGAAATTATCAAAACACATGAAGTGTCCAAAGACCATGTCAAGGCAATTAAAATTTCAGAAAGTCTCCTTATTTTTCAACCTATCTATTTGGTGAATTTGATTTTATATAACTACATATAACCAGATTCAATCAATCTAGTTGCATATACAAAGGTACAAAGGTCAAGGTGACTCCCAACATCAGCTGTCTGGGGCGACCCCACTACCACATGTTCAATATCCAGTTGATCATCAGATTGTCCACATGGAAAAACAAATCTTTGGGAAATAAATAATCACACATACAGAAGGTTTTACCTCTGCTGAAACATATGTACACATAATGCTAACAGTTTCACATATCACAGATTCAATAAGCTGGCTGCTACAGTAAAAATCTTGTTGTGTTCAATATTATTTCCACGCTGAAGATTTCCCCTTGGCTTGAGACGGCTTGCTGCAAGCAAGCTTCCTCTCTACTTTCTTCAGGGGCTGGGACTTGGCAGACTGTCCGGAGTCAGACTTGGTCTGTGAGGTATCAAGCACCTGTTACAACCAAACAAACGTTTAAGCTTTCAATAACATAATCAGATAAGAAAAAGCTTGACTGCATGGCATGACTTGTATCAAATCGGACTGACTGACTGAGTTTGGTTTCACGCCGCTTTTAGCAATATTCCAGCAACATCACGGCGGGGGACACCAGAAATGGGCTTCACACATTGTACTCATGTGGGGATTCGAACCCGGGTCTTCGGCGTGACGAGCGAACGCTTTAACCACTAGGCTACCCCACCGACCCGTATCAAATCAGAACTGAGTCCAAAATAGTGTAAACAAACATATCTAATCCACTAAAGAATAAGGCTATAAGCACTCATCAGCCACATAGTGCACTGAACCAAGTTTTCATAATGCTCCTAAAGATAAAAGGAACAGTCCATATAATTCTAGATGGCAATCACCCAGACCACGGGGAATATTTTAAGCAAGTTTTAGAAAACTCCAGTTTGTGAACATGTCACAATCTAAGAGCAGATATTTCTTGGTCTTATCTCACCAAAAGAAAACAATTTCAAACAAAGAGAAAGAAGTGCCAAAAGGCCACCAAGAGTCTGCCGACCTTGCCCTGTGCTGCTGGGTTAGCTCGGACTGTCGGAGGCTTCTTCTGGTTGACGGAGACAACTGTTTTCAACCTGCGTCCCGACCGCGGTGACTGTTTCCCTGACATTGTAGAACTCTTCTGTTCACCTTCTGTGTGTTCTGGGAAGCTGAAAGTAGTCCCTCACATAAGCTCAGGTATGAGTAAGTCAATGAATGGTTTGGGTTTAACACTGATTTGAGCAACACTTCAGTTGTATCATAAGGGAGGGGCATCAGAAATGGGCTCCACACATTATTGTGGGGAATGAAACCATTGACAAGTTATTTCTGAAAAAACTAGTGAGGGCAAGTGAGGACTGGTGCGTGCAAGAGTTCCTGATGGTGGGGGCATGAGGGGGGTTACATGAGGGATTGGATGCCTGACATGAAGGTGAAGGCTAGATGAGGGATTGGGTCCCTGACATGAAGGTGAAGGTTACATGAGGGATTGGGCCCCTGACATGAAGGTGAAGGTTACATGAGGGATTGGGTCCCTGACATGAAGGTGAAGGTTACATGAGGGATTGGGTCCCTGACATGAAGGTGAAGGTTACATGAGGGATTGGGTCCCTGACATGAAGGTGAAGGTTGAAGGTGAAGGTTACATGAGGGATTGGGTCCCTGACATGAAGGTGAAGGTTACATGAGGGATTGGGTCCCTGACATGAAGGTGAAGGTTACATGAGGGATTGGGTCCCTGACATGAAGGTGAAGGTTACATGAGGGATTGGGTCCCTGACATGAAGGTGAAGGTTACATGAGGGATTGGGTCCCTGACATGAAGGTGAAGGTTACATGAGGGATTGGGCCCCTGACATGAAGGTGAAGGTTACATGATGAGGGATTGGGCCCCTGACATGAAGGTGAAAGGTTACATGAGGGATTGGGTCCCTGACATGAAGGTGAAGGTTGACATGAAGGTGAATGAGATGAGGGATTGGGTCCCTGACATGAAGGTGAAGGCTAGATGAGGGATTGGGTCCCCTGACATGAAGGTGAAGGCAAGATGAGGGATTGGGTCCCTGACATGAAGGTGGGTGAAAGGCTAGATGAGGGATTGGGTCCCTGACATGAAGGTGAAGGCTGACATAAAGATGAGGGATTGGGTGCCTGACATGAAGGTGAAGGCTTGATGAGGGATTGGGTGACCCTGACATGAGGTCTTGGGTCCCTGACATAAAGGTGAAGGCTAGATGAGGGATTGGGTTCCTGACATGAAGGTGAAGGAAGGACATGAAGGTGAAGATGAGGGCTTAGGGTCCCTGACATGAAGGTGAAGGCTAGATGAGGGATTGGGTCCTGACATGAAGGTGAAGGCATGAAGGATTGGGTCCCTGACATAAAGGTGAAGGTTCCTGACATGAAGGTGGAGGGATTGGGCTTCCCTGACATAAAGGTGAAAGCAAGATGAGGGCTTGGTTCCTGGCTAGATGAGGGAATTGGCTTGGGTCCCTGACATGAAGGTGAAGGCTAGAGGGCTGATGAGGTCCCTTAAAGGTGAAGGCCCTGACATGAAGGTGAAGGTTACATGAGGGATTGGGTGCCTGACATAAAGGTGAAGGCTAGATGAGGCTTGGGTCCCTGACATGAAGGGTGAAGGATGAGGGCTTGGGTCCCTGACATGAAGGTGAAGGCTAGATGAGGGATTGGGTCCCTGACATGAAGGTGAAGGCTAGATGAGGGATTGGGTCCCTGACATGAAGGTGAAGGCTAGATGAGGGATTGGGTCCCTGACATGAAGGTGAAGGCTAGATGAGGGCTTGGGTCCCTGACATGAAGGTGAAGGGGCTTGGGTCCCCTGACATGAAGGTGAAGGCTAGATGAGGGCTTGGGTCCCTGACATGAAGGTGAAGGCTAGATGAGGGCTTGGGTCCCTGACATGAAGGTGAAGGCTAGATGAGGGCTTGGGTCCCTGACATGAAGGTGAAGGCTAGATGAGGGCTTGGGTCCCTGACATGAAGGTGAAGGCTAGATGAGGGCTTGGGTCCCTGACATGAAGGTGAAGGCTAGATGAGGTTTAAACTATGACTCCAAGGTTTTAGTCTGTGACTGTGACATACTGTTGAGTGTGTCCTTGAAGGAGCTGCAGCAGTCTGTTGACAGAGTCCTCCCCTGAATGCTGGTCCCCTTGCTCCCGGTACTGATCCAGCAGCCGTGAGATCTCAGCTAGCTGCTCTGGGGCCAGCACTCGAGACCCACCTACAACATTAGGGTGAAGCTCAAGATAACGAATTTCAAATCAGAGACTACTTCAGTGATTTCTGTAAACAGAAACTGCCTTTGTCTGGCTGAATTCAGGATTCATTTCTCACTTTTCTTCAATATCTTTTTTGATATGATGTCATGTATGCATTGTTCCTTTGGCAAAATCTTCTCCCTGTTGAACATTTGTATGTGTAACTTTGGGGTTGTGAATGCATACTTTCTTCTTTTAATGTCAGTTTATATTTTCCACTTAAGTTTTTTTTTACTTTCGGTTGTTTTGTAAAATAGTTTGTCCAAGGTATCCAGTCCAAGCAGACTATAAAAATGAGAAACAACTACCACCATGAGTGACCTACCCTGTCTGTTAGAGGATTGGTGTGCATCATCCCTCTCAGGTGGCAGCGAACCCAGCAGACGGTCTCTCTGAGTCTACAACAGATACAAGGCAGACTCAGCTTGTGGAGTTTACTGGAGGGTAGGAGGATGGGGTGATTGGGTCAGCATGATGGTCCAACTTGATCAAACAAAATGACTGAAAGCATTAAGGTAACATAGGAGCTGAAGGTGTCACATTACCATGAAATCTTTATTGAAAGTATTCCACAACACAAAGCAGTAATTTGAATCAACATTAGAGTATTGCCACCATCATACTGACACATATCATGATGTGTCCAACTGAGCACAACTTCCATTTTACAGTTTCCAAGTTTCTAAGCTCTACATCTAAGAGGGAATGAATTCAAGTATAAAAGCTGTAATAGTGACGATAAAGTATGGGGTCCCTTAAACCAAATAATGTAGCATCAAGGACCCAAACACAACCCATCTGACTCACCAACTGACACCTCCCAGAAGACTTCCTGTCTAACCACCTGACTTACCATCTGACCCTCCCAACTGACTCACCATATGACCCTCCCAACTGACTCACCATTTGACTCCCCCCATCTGACTCACCATGATCCCTCCCAACTGACTCACCATTTGACTCCCCCACCTGACTCACCATTTGACTCCTCCCACCTGACCACCTGACTCACCATATGACCCCCAACTCACCCACCATGACCCTCCCACCTGACTATGACCCCTTCTGACCTCACCCACCATATGACCCTCCCTCCCACCTGACCCTCACCATATGACCCTTCTGACTGACTCGCCCATTTGACTCCCCCCACCATCCATTTGGACTCCTCCCACCTAATCTCATCCCTACCTGATTCACCATCCAACCCTCCCACCTAAGTCGCCCACCTGACTCACCATGATCCCTTCTGACTCCTACCTGATTCACCTGACTCACCATCCAATCCCTTCTAATCTCTCCTACCTGATTCACCATCCAACCCTACCCCACCTAAGTCACCTAAGTCACCATATGACCCCTTCTGACCTCGCCCACCTGACTCACCATCCAACCCTCCCACCTGATTCACCATATGACCCCTTCTGACCTCACCCTGACTCACCATCCAACCCGTCCCACCTGACTCACCATCCAACCTGACTCACCATATGATCCCTTCTGACCTTGCCCACCTGACTCACCATCCAACCTGATTCACCATATGACCCCTTCTGACCTCGCCCACCTGACTCACCATCCAACCTGATTCACCATATCACCCCTTCTGACCTCGCCCACCTGACTCACCATCCAACCCCTCCCACCTGACTCACCATCCAACGCCTTCTGACCTCGACCACCTGACTCACTACATAGACCCCTCACACCTGACTCACCACTTGGTCTCGAAGCTGCTGCAATCGTCGGAGTTCTCTGTTGAGCTGAGCGGCCTGTGCTGTGTCGTTGAGGTCCAGCTCTACTGTAACACACAGAGGAGGTGACAGAGCAGAAAACAATGGCCAACGTGTGATGATCTGTCTCTGTGTAGCCAATTTGTCATAATTGTTTATGGAATAAATGTTTGACCATTATTTTAAGCATTGATCAGTAATATGGAAACCGTATCACAGCATCCTGTAGCTGTAATAGCCAAACACGTGGTTGATGTCATGACTCCCTCCTTCACAATAACACGCAATCAGCTAGGTCACACATTATAACCTAATCTTCATTAATTGTTTCTCAAGGCAATGAACAGGTAATTGTGACCTATTTTAACCCAGCTGCTAGCAAGGACTTGAATTTTCTAATTATATATTGAAGTCAGCAGTTATGACAAAGAGAAGATACACAATAGATTCTGCCCACCTGTCATTTCTCGGGATGTCTCGAGGATATCAGAGCCAAGAGGAACGTCATGTTCAGGGGTTTCTGTCACATCCCCTGGGGGTCTGTCAAGCAACTGTGGCAGGACATTCACAGATCATGAGATCACTTCAGGACTATTTACAACCAACAAAATAATTTAGATCTTGGGAATTTTACAGATACTTTAATCACACATCCTGAGGCAGTAATTCAGTAGGTTTATCCCAGTGACTGAATTCATTTCTGTCAAGTACTTCACTGAATACCAGGGACCACTCCCATAGAGTGAGTGAGTGAGTATGGTTTTATACCGCTTTTAGCAATATTCCAGCAATATCACAACGGGGCACACCAGAAATGGGCTTCACACATTGTACCCATATGGTGAATCGAACCCAGGTCTTCGGCATGACGACCACTAGGCTACCCCACCGCCCACTCCCATAGAGAAAAGGTAGGCCATCTCAAACACACATTACATCTTGGAGTGATCAACTGAAATGAAGGACTGGCCAAGGATGAACATTATGTAGTTGACGTTAAACCTGCTGTTTTAAACTCCCATTTGTATCATTGTTTCTGGGTTTGATATTTCTTCTTGAATCTCAGAATCATTAAGTCAACCATCTCGATAAGAAATTTGCAGGAAAGTTCAATAAGCTTTTCAACTAAATAACAATACCATTTTGATATAGTGCTGGAGTTCATTCTGTCGGGATTCATGTTCAGCCACTCTGTCCGCTATCTGGCTGTAGTCAGCATTCAACCTGAGACACAGTTCACACCACATCAGGACACGATGTAGGAATCATATAACATAACAAATGAATGTAATATTTTAGTTCTAGATCACAGTTCTGTCTGCCAGATTTTGAAAACTGTATTTATTGATATTTTTTGTCTATGCTAATTTTATTAAGCAGCAATTCTTCAAATTATGGTAAACATAGTCATGCAAGATTCTTTTGTAGTCCTTTCAGAAGGATGGAACAAAGCAGGTAGTACTGCCGTTGTTGGAAGTATCCTACTGTCTCTGTCGTCCTAGAACAGTGATACACAGATCTAGCTCAACTACCTGACAGTCTGCTCCAGTGTGTCACTAAGGTTGTCTACAGTGTTGGGTTCCCTGTGGGTGTGTCTAGGGTTGTACCCCTCCTCCTCCTAGAACACTGATACACAGATCTAACTACCTGACAGTCTGCTCCAGTGTGTCACTGAGGTTGTCTACAGTGTTGGGTTCCCTGTGGGTGTGTCTAGGGTTGTACCCCTCCTCCTCCTAGAACACTGATACACAGATCTAACTACCTGACAGTCTGCTCCAGTGTGTCACTGAGGTTGTCTACAGTGTTGGGTTCCCTGTGGGTGTGTCTAGGGTTGTACCCCTCCTCCTCCTAGAACACTGATACACAGATCTAACTACCTGACAGTCTGCTCCAGTGTGTCACTGAGGTTGTTCACAGGTTGTCTACAGTGTTGGGTTAACTACCTGACCTGTGGTGTCACTGTGTCTAGGGTTGTCCCTGTGGGTGTGTCCCCTCCTCCTCCTAGAACACTGATACACAGATCTAACTACCTGACAGTCTGCTCCAGTGTGTCACTGAGGTTGTCTACAGTGTTGGGTTCCCTGTGGTTGTGTCTAGGGTTGTACCCCTCCTCCTCCTAGAACACTGATACACAGATCTAACTACCTGACAGTCTGCTCCAGTGTGTCACTGAGGTTGTCTACAGTGTTGGGTTCCCTGTGGGTGTGTCTAGGGTTGTACCCCTCCTCCTCCTAGAACACTGATACACAGATCTAACTACCTGACAGTCTGCTCCAGTGTGTCACTGAGGCTGTCTACAGTGTTGGGTTCCCTGTGGATGTGTCTAGGGTTGTACCCCTCCTCCTCCTGGGACTGGCGACTCTGCTTCACTGGTGGGGACATACCGGGATGTGTGTACGCCCCACGGGGAGTCACAGAGTCTGAACAGAGAAGTGAATATTAGCAGATCATAGCAGTCTTTATATTGTCAGAATTAACAGACTGTAACTGTTGTTATATATTGAACAGTAATAGGCATATTTTGTTCCTGTTTTATATGATGAGGCTAGCCATTTGGATAAACTCTCATTTGTAAGATTCCAGCAACATCATGGTTGGGGACACCAAAAATGGGCTTAACACATTGTACTCATGTGAGCAATCGAATCAGCTCTTCGGCGTGACAAGCCAACGCCTTAACCACAGGGCTACCCAACCACCTCGTTGACAAGACGAAAACAAATTGAGTCAATCACTGTAAACACTAAATGCAATGTTACAGTAACTTACAGTCTGTTGCTGTTGACAATATCAGGGATGTTTCAGTCTGTTACTGCTGACAATATCAGGGATGTTACAGTCGACAATATCAGACATCTTACAGTCTGTTACTGTTGACAATATCAGGGATGTTACAGTCTGTTACTGTTGACAATATCAGTGATGCTACAGTCTGTTACTGTTGACAATATCTGGGATGTTACAGTCTGTTACTGCTGACAATATCAGGGATGTTACAGTCTGTTACTGTTGACAATATCAGAGATGTTACAGTCTGTTACTGCTGACAATATCTGAGATGTTACAGTCTGTTACTGTTGACAATATCAGGGATGTTACAGTCTATTACTGTTGACAATATCAGGGATGTTACAATCTGTTACTGCTGACAATATCAGGGATGTTACAGTCTGTTACTGTTGACAATATCAGGGATGTTACAGTCTGTTACTGCTGACAATATCAGGGATGTTACAGTCTGTTACTGTTGACAATATCAGGGATGTTTCAGTCTGTTGCTGTTGACAATATCAGAGATGTTAGTCTGTTGCTGTTGACAATATCAGGGATGTTTCAGTCTGTTGCTGCTGACAATATCTGAGATGTTACAGTCTGTTACTGTTGACAATATCAGGGATGTTACAGTCTGTTGCTGTTGACAATATCAGGGATGTTACAGTCTGTTACTGCTGACAATATCAGAGATGTTACAGTCTGTTGCTGTTGAAAATATCAGGGATGTTACAGTCTGTTACTGCTTACAATATCAGAGATGTTACAGTCTGTTGCTGTTGACAATATCAGGGATGTTACAGTCTGTTACTGCTGACAATATCAGAGATGTTGCAGTCTGTTACTGCTGACAATATCGGGGATGTAACAGTCTGTTACTGCTAACAATATCAGGGATGTTAGAGTCTGTTACTGTTGACAATATCAGGGATGTTACAGTCTGTTACTGCTGACAATATCAGGGATGTTACAATCTGTTACTGTTGACAATAATAAGACTGTTACCATCATCAGAGTCTTCATAGTCCGACCTGACTTGACTCTCTTTGGACTTCTGTGTCTTCCGTCGACTCCTGTGCTTAGCTGGTGATGGTGGCACTTGACCCCAACCTTGACCTTGTGAATACACGTGACTTTGTTGTTGTGGGGGTTGCAACATGACTGCTGCACCGGGCTGACTGACCAGATTTAGTAATGCTTGATTTTGATTGGCTAATGTCTGTAAATGAACACTTTGACTGGCTGGATTGGCAGAACCATGGCTGAGCAAATAGCCATGTATGTTCTGAGGTATCTGAAGCCCTTGATTGTGAAGGTGAGGTAAGAGACTGTCGTTCAGATTGAGTTCAGGAAATGTCATTCCTTGTAGTCTCGGGTCAAGGAGAACAGTTCCAGCAGTGTCCACATCATTGGGATGTCGTTGGAGTTGGTTGCTGGACGCCCCTGATGAGAAGGACTGGTTGTGTGCCCCACCGCCTCTTGAGACAAGGAAGTCTGGAATGCAGCCATAGGCATAACAAACACTACAGGTACAGTGACGTCCCTGACAAGGACTTATAAGTGTGCACATCATCACTCAACATATTCTGGGAAAGTCTTCTTGAAAAAAAATTGTATTAAAAATTTGTGGATGCCTGGATTCTTACAATGTGAATTTGCTGCATTTCTGTATATATGTATGTATGTATAAACAAAAACAGGTCAATCAGAATTCTCAGGGCAGCTTTTACTGAACATGGCTGAGATCCTCTGCATGCAATAGATGTTAGGGCTTCCTAGATATCAGAAAATCCATGGCTGCAAAACATATTCAGCCAGGAAACAGCAACAGGATTGGGGAAAAGATGAACAAGAAATAATCAGGACTATTTCCTAGTTTGATGGTTACAGATGCTACACATGCTTACCCGGGTTGCCTTGCTGAACTGCACTGTTGCTGGTTGGCAAACTGCAAAATAAAACAAATCCATAAGAAAATCAACATTTTAACTCCTACAGTGACAGAATATCTCGAAATCCACACTGTGCCGAACTGCCAATTCATTGCACACAACGGCTTATCTTGGCAACACCCTTGGCCCACCCCATTCCCACTGCACATATCACTTTGTCCGAGCTAGCCTCTGTAATCGACCGAATTCTTGAAACACACACCATTTTGTCTGTGAAGAACTCTGTGGACCAACCCAACTCTGTTTTTTCTTTGTTGCCCTCTAATGCTCCCCTGTATGTCACTCTTCCTGTACAATAATATCAGGATCTATACCAAAATGTGGCTTCATTATAGAATAAAGAAGTTGCCATTAAAAATATTATTCTGACTTACTGCCACCCTCACTGTACACATCTGTCTGTCTCTACAGCCACCATGTCCCCTCCCACCTATCCCCTGATCTTCACTGCACACATTGGTGAATCCCCAAACCAGACCCCTGGTGCTCAAAGCACCGTCACTGCAGACACTCCCTACACACCTGTTGATGTATTCCTCCACCCGGTCGGTCTCTGCCGCCCTATGCTGCTCCACCCCACCCTCCTCCAGCCTGACTGGTGGACGTGCTTCCCCCTCTCCACAACCACTCCCTACACACCTGTTGATGTATTCCTCTACCCGGTCGGTCTCTGCCGCCCTATGCTGCTCCACCCCACCCTCCTCCAGCCTGACTGGTGGACGTGCTTCCCTCTCTCTACCACCACTCCCTACACACCTGTTGATGTATTCCTCCACCCGGTCGGTCTCTGCCGCCCTATGCTGCTCCACCCCACCCTCCTCCAGCCTGACTGGTGGATGTGCCTCCTCCTCCCTGTTGGGGCTGCTAGTCTTTGGCTGGTTCGAGGGGACAATGCTCAGGTTCAGATGACCAGGTGGGTTTGCTGCCTGACTCTGGGTTACATGGGATATACTTGACACGAATGACCCATTTAATGGCTGTTAAAAAAAAGAAAATCTTACTGAAAAATCATGAACAAAGTACAAAAGATTTGAGCCTTAATAAATGCCTCAATCCAACAAATTGAGGTCGAGAACATTTCTAGCACAGTTTCACACAGACTGCAAGCAGAGATCTGTAGCAGTGTAACAACCTTTTCCTATTAGATACAGGGCTCCAGATAATTTTTCATGATTAGGAGTACGTACTCCTTATTTTTTCAATATAGGAGTACAGGAAAACGATAAGAGTACATTTTGAGTACTGAATGGAATTTAATGGCGTATCAGTAATCTTGTGTTTCGTTTCATATATGCACAACATTGCTACTCTTGTGTAAACAGGTCAGTAAACATTAAAACATGTAATTTTTTTAGTAAAATTGATATTTTATACTTATCCTGACTCATGCTCTTTTGCTTGTCTTCTTCTTCTTGCGAACATAGTGGAACACTTGTATCTCCTTAATTGAAGCTCCCTTCAATGTAAAATCACTAATTGGTACTCACCAAGAGTTGCGTCCCTTGCCCTTTTGGCGGGAACAGGTGTCGCCACCCTCTGGCCTCATGCTTCACTCTCTCCTGATTTTGCGAGCCCAACACTTGAATTTACAGGGAAATCCAAAGTGTTATGTGGGGAGGATAGGAGGGCTAACCTCATGAGTCAGGATAAGAATAAAATATCAATTTTACTAAAAAAATTACATATTTTTCCTTATCCTGACTCATGCTCTTTTGCTTGTAGAATCCTACGGAAACGGAGGTGGGCAAAACAGAATACTTTGGATTTATAGAATTAGTGATTTATATAGATATAACTGTAATAACCCCTCTACGGAACTTCATAAAGGCATAGACTTAGGATAATTCCTCTATTATAAGCCATAGGTTATAATGCCATACTGGGGTATATTTACATTAATAATATACTGAGATATTATAAACAACAATATCAAAGCGACTCTGATAGAGAAGCTATACCACTGAACATATCTACATAGTGCTAGAACTCCGTCAGAGTTATAAGCTAGATAATGCATGTAACAATTATGCATATTAATCTCGTAAGACTACGTGTTACGCGTTCTACGAGGACTGTCAACTGCTGTGCGAGGACCAAGGGACCGAAATGGTGAATGCCTGAGACGTCCTCGGTGGTGATATCTCCCAGTTAGTGATTAGCAAACACCATGTTAGATTTCCAAAAGCATCCTTCCATAATTGTATTCAATGAACAGTTACGTGTAGAGGCGAGAGTGGAAGCTAAAGCCCTGATCTCATGGGGATTTGATGCTGTTGGAGGGTCCAGTCCTGCTGCCTTGTAGGCCTTGAAGTATGACAGTTCTTATCCATATAGATATGGTGGTACGAGAGACTTCTGTCTGAGTTGTTGCCGACAAGGGAATGAATAATCGTTTTGAGAAATCTTAAGCCTTGTTTTGGAGCGTCGTAAATAGATTTTGAGAGCTCTGACTGGGCATAGAGATAAGTCCAGTGTATCTTGAGATCCGAGAATGGAGGATAATGCAGGGATATGAAATAACCTGTCTGGTTGACCTGGTAGTTGATTTTTTGGCGATGAAATCCCATCTTAGTCCCAGGTGTGCTGTGTTTTGATTGTCATCAAACTGTATCCTCTCATAATCTAGTGCGTGAATTTCCGACATCCTGGCTGCTGTGGCTAGAGATAACAGGAAAAGCGTTTTCTGTGAGAGAAATTCAAAGTTTGTCGATTCCAACGGTTCATAAGCCTCACTTGTGAGGTGTTGTAACACTATATTCAGATCCCAAGCTGGGGCGTGGAACTTCCGCTTTTGGTCCTCAATGCGAAATGCGTAGTAAGGCCAGTAACTCTGGAGTTTTAGTCAATTTGACACCCGTTCTCATGGTAATCACAGAACTAAGCGCGGCAAGATATGTTGACAATGTCGAGCCTTTTAAATGTTTGTTTTGCCGTAAGTAACACAAATAATCTGCCACTTGTGGATGAGTAGCATCTCTTGCTGTAAATCCCTTATTTGCTCCGCGTAATTCTCAAAACTGTGCCACTTGTCGTCGTACAAGTTACGTGTAGAATTGCGTAAGGCAAGCGTGACCGCTTTTGCCGCCCTGGTAGAATACCCTCTCTTGTTTAAACACATTTTAATACAGTCCATACGTGAAGTTGGAATACTTCTGGGCTTCCGTGCACCTGTTTGGTGTGTGGATGTATTAATAGATTTGGCTTGGGTAGCTCTAGTGTTGGTTGACCGATTTCTTGAATTAGAATGGGAAACCACGTTCTGGCCGACCAGTAGGCGACCAAAGTGAGTTGGAGGCTCTGTGTTTGTCTGATTTTCTGTAACACTTGAGGTATTATTGCTGGCGGCTGAAACGCGTACGCTTTGAGGCCTTCCCAGGATATGCTTAGAGCGTCCGTTGCCCATGCTTGTGGGTCTGGGACTGGTGACACGAATGTCGGTAGCTGATTGTTGAAGCGTGTGGCGAATAGATCTACTAGCGGTGCTCCTATTTGCTTGATTATCTGTGCAAATATTTCTGTATTGAGCATCCATTCTGTCGGTGACGGTTGATGTGGCCGAGAGAGTGCGTCTGCTAGTACATTCTTGGCTCCGGGAATGTGACATGCTCTGACATGTAGGTTTAGATCGTGGATTAGATCGAACAGTTGAAAGCTTAAAGTCAATAGGTTCAGTGATCTCGTTGAACCTTGTTTGTTCACATAGAACGCCACTGTCGAGTTGTCGGTATGAATCATTAAGTGCGCATTCTGTAGAATGGTGCTCCAATGAAGTATGGCGTTGATTACAGCTTTCATCTCTAACATGTTTATATGGAGCTTGCTTTCTTGCTGATTCCATAACCCTGATGCCGTCCGGTTGGCCGAGATGAGCTCCCCAACCTTGGAAGCTGACACGTCTACATATAGATGGGTTTTGAATTCCTGCTCTTCTAAACAAATACCTTTCGCGAAACATTCGACCTCCTGGTCCACCATAGTAGATGAGGTCTGAGGCGTTTGGTAGACTGAATGGTTGTAGGTCGCCGAGATGTGCATTGATGAAGACCTGTATTGGGCGTAACTGTAATCTGCCTGAGACTGTCATGTCTTGGGCTGATGTGAGAGACCCAACAAGCTCTGCCATTGTCGTAGTGGTAGCGGAGAGAGTAGAGCTGGCGGAATGGTCTGTTGGATCTTGAGCCAGCGGTCTTCTGGAAACGACGATACGGTTGTGATTAAGTGATAAATCGAATGCCTAGGAACTGCAGATCTTTGCGATGGTACTAGGTCCGACTTGAGTAAGTTTACTAACCATCCTAGCTGTGTTAGTAGCTTATGATGTAGTTTAACTGTAGTTTGAGGCGGCTGTGGATCTTGATCTACTTGTATCCCGTCGTCGAGGTAGAAGCGCACTCGCGTAGCCCTAGACGATGTAGATAGGTGACAATAGGTTTTCGTTATCCTCGTTGAATAGCCAGGGGCTGATGATATGCCGAATGGGAGTACTTTCCATTGGTAATGTAGCCCGTCTAGTGTAAATCTTAGATATTTCCTGGATTAGGGATGTATCGGGATATGTAGATATCGTCTTGCAGATCTATACTGGCTATGTAATCCATGGGGCTGAATCAACTGCCGTAACTGAGGAAGGTGTATCATGCGAGAAACTTTGGTGGTTTGGCGTAGATAATTCCTGTTGAAAAAGCTCATGTTGTAAATGAGTCTGTATTTCTCCTTGGAGTTTTCTTGGGTACTAGGAAAACTGGGGAGTAGAAGCCTGGTTCGATGTTTACTTGATCTAGTACTTCTATGGCCTGCTTGGTTATGAGTGATGTAACCGCCTCTCTTAACTTTGGTAGTTGTTGTGCCTGTAAGTTCGAACTTGTAAGGGTTGACTGTCAGCGAGGCGTGGCCTGTAGTGGGATACGAAATCCGTGTTGAAGAATGTTGGAGACATAAGGGTCTTGTAACATTCCCCAGTTCTCCCAGTGTAGTTGAGGCGTCCACCCACTTCAGACGGTTGTACTGAAGCGGCTGGGGTGGAAGACTCCAGTCGTTCGAACCTGTCTTTCAGCGTTTATAGTTGCGGGAACCTCTGGGTGTCCTGCCTCTTCCTGACCCTCCTCTATAGTTGCCATATGGGCTTAATTTAAAAGAATCTTTTCCTGGCGCTGGCTGGCTATCTTCCTATCCGAGCTTTCTGTAGTCCGAGAACTTAGATCTCCCTGAGTATCTTTGTGAAGTCTGCCTGATGACGCTGGCTAGCGTGTCCATCGACTTGATCATAAGGACTTCTCTGGAGTCCTTAGTGACTTCCTTGGAGACTTTGTCTATTCCTCCGTCAAAGATGTTTGGGGATGACCACGGGGCTGTATAGAGTGGAGCTGTAAAGTTCTCACCCCAGCTGCAGGAAGCGAGGAGGCCTTGACGACGAGCTAAGGTCAGTGCTGCTGAGATAGATGTGAGATGATCTGTAAGGAACTGCTGGTCCTTCTTTTTGCATCAGTAGGGCCGAGTAGATCATCCTATCATCTTCAGAGGTCGTGATACGTAAATCTGGTGATAAGTGTCTCATTGATCGTTCTAGATCTATTTAGGCCAAAAAACATGCGTCTCGTCATGTTTTCTATCTGCACCAGCTTGCGATCGTCAATCTTGTAGTTCTTGTTCTTAACTTCGCTGATCAGCTTGTAGTTGTCATCGATGTCTTGTGCCTTCAGGAAGGGGTCCATGTTGTGCGTGGAGAACTTCTTAGCGTGAAAGTTCGGCAGATGTGGTGTCTGCACTTTCGTAGCTTTAATGAAGGCTGTATCTAGATTATGTGGCACCGCAGCAATCGGGTCGATCGGAGGTAAGGTGATGGCGTCTGCATCGTCTTCCTTCATCAGGTATGTCTGCGCTGAGTTGCCGCTCTTGGACGGTGAAGATAAATCTAGGTTGTTTACCATCCAATATCTTATCTCAGCGTCTGAGAAGATGATGCCTCCATCATCTTCTGTACCAGCATCGGAGATGAGAGGTTGATGCTCTTCTGATGGTGACCTGTGGGCTGCTATCTCTATGTCGGGTGACACTCGGGGAGACCTGACTGTAGACCTGCGTGCCGACTTGTGTGGTGACCTGCGAGGTGATGTACGTGGAGATCGGCGTGGTGAACGGCGTGGAGATCGTCTAGGTGATCTTCGTCTATGGGAAGACCTAGATCTGCGAGGAGAATGTTGGCGATCTTCGTGAAGCTCTTGAATAGTCCCTCGGCGTCCTTCTGGACGATGCGCGATCTGTGTGACGGCCTTCGTGCAGCTTCCTCTGCGTCGGACCTGGGGAGGCGGCACCTTGACTTCGTGGACGGTTTCCGTGGCGTCTGGTGGTCTGAGTCTGCATCTGAGGATGAGGCCGAGGGGATGGTGGCGATCTCTCCGTCTTCGCGAAGGCCTTCGCGAAGACTGTACATCTGCGCCCTTCGTCGAGGTGGTCTGTGACTTCTTCGAAGGCTGCTTCGTCGTGGCTGCTACGCTGACTGGGGTGCCTCTGGGGTGTCGTCATGCTGCTCGGGCCCTGGGCTGGCTGCTTTCCCTTGACTGTAGTGGCCCTCCATCATGGTCATGATCTGCCGCAACAGCTTGTCTGGGATGGTCTCGCGACGAAGTAGTCGGTGCCTCTCTGCGATGACAGCTGCTGAGCCCTCAGGGAAGTCGTCTGACATCAGTGTAGAGGCATCAGGCTGCATGGCGATCTCTGCTGATGTCACTGTAGCTGTCACCGGTCGCTTCTTGTGGCGTACGTCAGGGATGATGATCGGCTGATCATCGTAGAGGCCCAGTTCGGCGGCTGGAACGATCTCGGCTGAGAAAGTTCTTGACGATTTCGTAGACTTCCCCTTGGATGTCGACGCTGCCCTGGGGGTTCGAAGTCTGCGTTGGGAAGACGTCGTGGCCCTCTTGGACTTTAGCTGCGATGACGGGACGTCTGGGGAGGCAGGACGCTTCTTAGAGGTGGCGGACTGCATCCCACGCCTATCTTCGGAGTCTCTAGCGAAACACCAGACGGGAGAGGGTCTATCGACAGCAGCTGACTGGAAGGGGAATCTGATGTATCGGCCATGTCTAACCCTTGTTTGCGTGACCTATCTGCGGTGCGCCTCACGGCACGCTAAAGATATTTATGAAAAGCAGAATTGGATAGATTAATGCAGTAACAGCGTGTATCAGCACGCAAAGTAGCACAACTAGGGCATAATACATGGGTCAGCAACCAAAAACGTAAATTGCAAATAGTACAGATTTTCATCAACGTAATACTAGCTGAACAATCACGAACTCACGTGAATAAACAGTAGAAATACGATTAATTATCAATGCAAATTAATGAAGGATACTAGCTATACCTCTATAGTAACCTATAAGAGGTAATAAACTAAGAAAAAACCAAAGGATATGGTGTGTAAGGAGACACAGGCGCTCTCACATCCTGCTCACTGGGCGAAGAAGGAGAGAGTGAAGCATGAGGCCAGAGGGTGGCGACACCTGTTCCCGCCAAACGGGCAAGGGAGGCAACTCTTGGTGAGTACCAATTAGTGATTTTACATTGAAGGGAGCTTCAATTAAGGAGATACAAGTGTTCCACTATGTTCGCAAGAAGAAGACAAGCAAAAGAGCATGAGTCAGGATAAGGAAAAATAATACTTTTTCAGATAAATACGTCTGTAAATGATTCTGAAACAGTACACCATTGCTGTGGTCCATATCTGCTACGTTTTTAAAATTGTTTCCTACCGTATCATACTTATGTTATATCCGTACATACGCCGATACGGCCCTTATCTGGAGCCCTGAGATATCATTGTCTGTGGTAACACATAGAATAAGGATGCCATGGCAACCACTGTTCTCACCTGAGACTTCCTCTGTGGAGTGTTGACCAGCAGGGATACGGCCTCATTCCACTGGCTCTGCATCATGTACTGGAACTTGGTCAGAATCTCCATCCTAGACATTCAACACAGTTAAACAAGCTGCTGTAATAACATCACCATGTTGTACAACTGTATAATTCTGTGAAGAGCCGCGTTCAAGTAGGTATTCAGTATTGCATGATTGTTGTAGAACTAATGGGACCGGGTCGCTGACTTGGTCAAAAGCATATGACACATATCCTATTTGCAAAGTTCAATGTCTATGATGTCAATCACTGGATTGTCAAGTCCAGACTCAATTATTTACAGACCACCCTCATCATATAATGTTGCTGTGTGTGGCATTAAACAACATCAATACACCAGCCTTAGAAACAAGTGCTGAGTCACGTTACACTAACATCTGTACTATGTTTTGACTCTCCATGACTACAAGATTAATATATAACTCATAAGACTCCATACGAAACCACAAACTGACCTCTGGGACTCCAGTTTCTGTTTGGAATGCTTCAGGCTGGAGTTCTCATTCCTGTACTCCTCTAATCTGGAAACACAGCAGTAACAGTACATCTGAGGGGCATGGCTACACAGTATTACGGCTATACCAGGAACTGGAGGGGAACCAAAGTTTCCAAAATCAAAGGGTGAGAAAATCTGTACTTTATGTGAAAAATATGTAACCCCTCTAGTAGACTTGGAAGACTATGGTTATTCAGCAGTAGTGAGTGAGTGAGTTGAATTCTACGCCACTTTTTGCAATATTACAGCAATATCACAGCGGGGGACACCAAGAATGGGCTTCACCTATTGTACCCATGTTGGGAATCAAACCTGGGTTTTGGCGTGACAAGCAAACGCTTTAACAACTGGGCTACCCAGCAGCACTTATACAGCAATAACAGCAGACAATCCATCAGCATGCTTCTCAAAGAGTACTGTTTGTACTGGGACTAGTTTCCAGAGCATCTCTCCAATACCTCTCCTCCAGCTCCTGTATTTTCTGCCTATAGTTGTCCTCCGTCCTGCGGCCATCGTCCCGCATCTGCTGCATCTGCCGCTCCGTGTCCTTCTGGTGCCGGCCGTGTATCTCGGCCACCTGGCGCCGGTGTTTCTCCTGCAACTCCTCCAATGCCTCCTCCATCTTCTCATGCACCTCACCCACCTGCTCTGATATCTGGAGTGACAGTAACCAGTAATTATAGCAGTCTCACCATGGAAACCTGCTCTATTGTTAAGGATTTCAGTGTCAAAGGTTTAACCGTGTGAATCTACAGGTAATGCAAGATTTACCTATATTTTTCTATTTTTTAATCAAGCGGACTCTTAGTGACTTAAAGACAGGTAAAATGTGGCATGGATGCTTCACTTTATACCAAAGAATGAAAGTGCTTTCATATCACTGTACATACTGAGATGTCGTGAGTCTATTGTGCTTTACTGTTAAATTGAAAATAATCAACAAATGGCACCCAGAACTATGATTGTATTCTTCACAGAATACATGACAGTAATCAGTAACATGTAAAATAGAACTATCTTTTTCACATCCAACAACACCAAGGCAGGCTATCAGTTAGTATGCGTATAGGACATATCAAACTCATGTGACCCTACCTCCTTCTCCATCTGTGAGTGCAGGTCAGCCTCTATCTTCCTCTGGGAGCTCTCAAACTTGGCCTCCAGGATAGCCATCTCTACCTTCAGACTCTCCTGCAAGTAGACAGCCACACTTGATCACACTGAACATGTCAGCTCTAGTACATGACCAAATGCAAAATGAATCTGAATGATAAACTTCCAACTGACCTTTTCTCTCCGGGCTTCATCAAACTCTAGGTCGAGTTTCTTGCTCTCCGTCTCCAGCAAACGGTTCCTCTCTTCCAACTCCGACACCCTTCGCTCTGTCTCCTCCGTCTTCAACTGCAACAACACATGGGCATCAAACACACTGTTAACAGCCAGCCAGCACTAAGGGACACTACTCCTACTTTACGACAAAGATAAAGGGGAGTAACTGTATGAAGGGGGAGATGGGGGTGGATGAATGGAGTGAGTGAGTGAGTTTAGTTTAACACCACACTCAGCAATATTCCAGTTATATCGTGGCGGTTTGTAAATAATCGAGTTTGAACCAGACAATCCAGTGATCAACAGCATGAGCATCGATATGCGCACTTGGGACCCGATGACATGTGTCAACCAAGCCAGCCAGCCGACAAGCATGGGTTACTGAAGGTACATTCTAACCCGGACCTTCATGGGTGTGGATGAATGGAGGGCATGAATTGTTTGCAGTGTTTATGCTCACATGGGGTGGGGTGGGGTGGATTTTACGACGCTTTGAGCACTATTCCAGCAATGTCACACCAGAAATGGGTTTCCCTCACTGTACCAAAGTTGCCAATAGAACCTGGGTCTTTGGCTTGATGAGAGAACACTTTACCCTCTAGGCTACCATTCCACCCATTTATGATCACAATTATTTAGGGGTCAATTTATTATTGATTGAATAACAAGATTTCGAAATCAAATTTGTCAACGAAGATAATTTCATATTAAAGGAATAATTCAGATTAGCAATGGGAAGGATTCAGGGGATTGGAGAACAAAGTTATGAGATTGAACACAGAATATTGAGCTGTGAAACAAGACAATGATATTGGAGCAACATCACACATTCAAGGCGGACAGCAGATTTACATTTTACAAATTAGACATATGTTTCCAGAGAGATTTGATTAAAAGACCCTTGGCTATGCAACGCACAACTGAACATACTTGACAGCTCATATTAGTGAGCAAATAGACCTGTTAAAAATATAAGAAAAACGACATAATATTCAGTAATATTGTGTAATAAATCATGTGGCATAGATATATCTCTGATTCACAGATGTTAATGAGCAGGGACAACTGCTGCTAGACTGAGCTACCCACCCTCTCCATCTGTATGACCTTGAGGTTAGCCTCCTTCACATCATCAATCTTCCCCAGCAGCTCCTGTTCCCGCTTGTACCACTCATCCTGCTCCTGAACAACACAGAATGGGATGTTGGTCTATGAGTAAGTCAGTGAATGTTGATCAATGCTCTGCTCATGCTTGCTCCATGCTGGGCATATCCTGGGCAAATGCTTACTGAATGCTTGCTTTAACACATAGGTCTGTAACTAATTCTGTCCAACAAACAATCTCTATGAGATACTGGGGTCCATTACTGACTAAGAATAACTACTCTTCAATCAATAAAGATTTCTTAAAGCTCATCTGACTGACTGACTGAGTTTGGTTTTACGCCGCTTTTAGCAATATTCCAGCAACATCACGGCAGGGGACACCAGAAATGGGCTTCACACATTGTACCCATGTGGGGATTCGAACCTGGGTGTTTGGCGTGACGAGCCAACGCTTTAACCACTAGGCTACCCCACCGCCCCTAAAGCTCATCTGCAGTGTAGTGAGAACCAAGGAATGAAGGCAAAGACTGGCTCAATCCAGCAAGTTCTCAGATTACAATAAGTAAACAGCAATATCTTTACAGATATCAGAGAGGAGTTGTACTGTCTTGAAGCCCTCTGTTTATAAGCTGCTTCAATCTCAGGCAATGAAATGTACAGTGTAGGGCTCATTTAATAATGAACAGAAACTCACCTGATACAATATGCACAGAAATCGCTAGCCCGACATCACGACAACATCCCATAGCATGTATGTGAATTGCTGATGATGAACAGTTTCATGATGAGCAGAAACTCACCTGATGCAATCTGTCCTGAAGCTGCTAGCTCCTGTGCTCCATCACACATCACTACTCCACCCTAGAGTAAGCATTAAGATGTGAACCTGTCAGAACCAGTAGATACTGATGCTGAAACAAGACCCACCTGATGCAGCCTGTCCTGCTGTGCTCCATCACACATCACTACTCCATCCTACAGTAAGCATTAAGATGTGATGGAGGTTCACTGTCTACACAGAACCAGTAGATACTGATGCTGAAACAAGACCCACCTGATGCAACCTGTCCTGCAGCTGCTGTGCTCCATCACACATCACTACTCCATCCTACAGTAAGCATTAAGATGTGATGGAGGTTCACTGTCTACACAGAACCAGTAGATACTGATGCTGAAACAAGACCCACCTGATGCAGCCTGTCCTGCTGTGCTCCACCACACATCACTACTCCATCCTACAGTAAGCATTAAGATGTGATGGAGGTTCACTGTATACACAGAACCAGTAGATACTGATGCTGAAACAAGACCCACCTGATGCAACCTGTCCTGCAGCTGCTGTGCTCCATCACACATCACTACTCCATCCTACAGTAAGCATTAAGATGTGATGGAGGTTCACTGTATACACAGAACCAGTAGATACTGATGCTGAAACAAGACCCACCTGATGCAACCTGTCCTGCTGTGCTCCATCACACATCACTACTCCATCCTACAGTAAGCATTAAGATGTGATGGAGGTTCACTGTATACACAAAACCAGTAGATACTGATGCTGAAACAAGACCCACCTGATGCAGCCGGTCCTGCAGCTGCTGTGCTCCATCACACATCACTACTCCATCCTACAGTAAGCATTAAGATGTGATGGAGGTTCACTATACACAGAACCAGTAGATACTGATGCTGAAACAAGACCCACCTGATGCAGGTTGCACTGTGCTCTCACACAACTACTCCAACCAGTGATGGATCAGAACCAGTAGATACTGATGTTGAAACAAGACCCACCTGATGCAGCCGGTCCTGCAGCTGCTGTGCCCGGTTCTCCGCCAGTTCCCTCGCCTCCTTCAGCTGTTCCCACTCCTGCATCACCAGACTGGCTCTCTCCCTCTCTCCCTCCAACACCTCCTCCGCCTGCACCTTCTCTCTGCTCTTTGTCTCTAGCTAAGATGAAAGAGGAGCACAATGGGTCCATCTAACAAAAGTCCTACATTTCACTAAACCATAGCATTCTGTAACCATGGTACAGAAAACTGGCAAGACAGAACAAGTGTAACAACAGGATTAACTTGCATAATTCAATACAGATTTGTTGATACTCTATTTCCGATCTATCTCAAGAAGACAAGGCTTATGTACGGACATACCATTTTGATACAGATTTTAACTGTAAATATAGGACCTCGGCATATCTACAATATCTATGGTCATATACATTAGGTATTATCAGGCTTACTGCTGGAGTAACAATATTTGCATATTTAATAATAACAATCTGTTAGATGTCTGAGCCTTAAAGTCAGGTGAACCTTAAATATATCATTCCTCATTCTTGTTACCTCTCGTTTCAGATTGTCTACTGCCATGGCTGAGTGTTGCTTTTCCCTCTTCAGTGCGGACACAGTCTCCGCCATCTCCCTCTCAAAGTTATTGATCATCTGAATCATGAATATGTAATTTTTTAAGTATAATTGATATTTTATACTTATCCTGACTCATGATCTTTTGCTTATCTCCTTCTTCTATGCGAATGTTAGTGGAACACTTGAATCCCTTGTAGTTCCCTAAAGCGGACGTAAAAGTTCACTCGCCCGAGAGTTACCTCCCTTTTCCCGCGCAAACAGTCATGTGACCAGCCATACTTGCCACTCTCTCCTGAATATAGCCCATGCACTTGGAACTACTGTGAAATCCGAAGTGTCTTCAGCGGGGAGGTCGGGAGGGCTTCACCTCATGAGTCAGGATAAGTATAAAATATCAATTTTACTTTAAAAATTACATATTTTTCCTTATCCTGACTAATGATCTTTTGCTTATAGAATCCAACGGATTGGTGGTGGGTCAAGCCACTTCTTGGATTCATCAGCTGTCCATAGATACATCCTGTATCCCCCCCATGGGAACTGCGTAACGGCATTTCCTAGATCCTATTCTTCAAACTTCCGTTATAACTCGGGGGGACCACAATCTTGTCTTACTTCTCTCTCAGACAAGTGAATCTTCTAGATTCATGTGGATTTTAGATATCCTAGTATCTTCTTTTTACTAGATATCTATAAAACTCATAGATTATGATAAGATCATTATCATAAATGAGTTACGACCCCTTAACGTACAGGTAAGATCGATACCCGTACAGAGTCTTAATCACTCAAGCTAGTCTAGTCTAGACTGTGCGCATGGACTTTCAAACTAGTACTTTTTCCGTAGTAAAAGTTATCAACAAGTCAACGTGATAAAGGGTGATATTTCCAACTCAGAGCCTTTGTGGAACCGAAGACCGATATCTTCCATGATATAGAGAATGCAAAACCTACACGAAAGTAGGAACTGCATCTTATCTGCGTTTGCAAGCCGACGACAACTGCTACGCCAGAACCAATGGACCCAGATGGTGAAGACCTTCCACGTCAGTGATAGACAGATCCCGGAGGTAGGGTGAGACAAAGACTGAGTCCAACTCCAAAAACAACCCTCCATGATGCCGTGAAGAAAACAGTTCTATGTCGGGCCATCGTAGTGGTCAAGGCTCTTGTCTCATGAGGGTTGGCCGTAGTAGGAAGAGGAAGGTCAACACAGGCGTAGGCATGAAGGATGGTTGATCGCATCGTGAAGGTCAGTGTGGTAAAAGAGACTTCTGTAGATGAGGCAGATGACAGAGAAATAAACAGTCTCTTGCGTAACCTACGACGGTCCATGGAGGCAGATAAAAGACCTGTGAAGTCCGGACAGGACATAGGGAGAAATTCTCGGTGTCGTCAGGGCCCAAAACAGAAGACAGCGGCGGGAAGGCGAATAGTCTGTCCGGCTGTCCAGGCAACTGGTTTCAGCGAAGAGATCCCACTTCAACCAGGGAGGGCTTTGACATATCTGGTCCTCTCGAAACGCAACCAGGTGACATCCAGTGCGTGAAGCTCGGAGATGCAGGCAGCAGTCGCAAGAGCCAGGAGGAAGAAGATTTAAACGGGACATGCTTGCAAGCCTTCTCTGCCAGAGGTTCATACTCCTCTGACATGAGATGATTAAAAACCACGGAAAGGTCCCAGGCTGGTGGCCAGAACTTCCAGGATTGATCAGCAACTTGTAAGATTTAAGGAGATACTGGAGCTCAGGGACAGTTGACACCTCCGCACCCGTAGCCGGCACAATAACTGTGTTACGCATGGCCAGGTATGTAGACAAGGTGGAACCCGTCAATTCCTTGGAAGTTCAAGGATGCTGGAGGTACTCTCCGACCATCTGCGGTGATGCTGTAGTGGGAGATATAATACCCATCGTCTAGCAGTACGCTTCAAAATACTTCCATAGTCATCACAGAGTGGCCTGGTAGAAGTTCAATGCGCCGCAGAGACTCACTTGGAATATCCCTTTGCAGTTAGCGATTCAAGTAAAGGCACCAAGCATGAAAATTAAGTGTGAGCTAAGGCCATGCAGCTGATCGGAGTGAAGATGAACCATAATATCGGCGTGACAGGAAGTGGTACTGGAATGGGTCGGCCAAGTCTTGCATCTTAGGAACAAACTAACGAGCCAAAACGGTGCGACCCAAAAATAGTGTCAACCGCTGTGTTGTGCGTAACTTAAGCAGTATGCGTGGAAGTAGAACCACTGGTGGAAACGCATATGCGTTCAAGTCATCCCAGGGGATGGCTAGAACGTTGTGTTCCCAGGCCAAAGGATCCGGGATCAGGGACACGAATATCGGAAGCAGGTGATGGAAGCGGGTAGCAAACAGATCCACTGTCAGACATTGGAAGGCACAAAGTCTGGAACACCTGCGGATGCAGTTTCCACCCCATCGGGTATGGTCGAACCGGACAGGACAAAGAATCTGCAATGACGTACTTCAACCCTGGGATGTGATTGGCCAGGACCGTGAGGTTGAAAGAGTCCACTCAGTGGAAAAAACTGTTGTGTCCACTAAAGAAGTTGAGGAGACCCCGTGGATCCCATTCGATTGATGTGCCACACGATCGCAGCATAGTCCGATCGAAACAAAAGCTTGGTTGATTGTAACAGGTGATGCCAATGAGTGATCGCAAGAATCATTGCCCTGAGCTCCAAACGTTGATGTGACATGCACAGCCTGCGGGAGGCCACAACCCTGCCACTCGCTGAGTGAGCTCCCCACCCGTGTAGAAAAGTGACTACGTACAGGCGATGTGCTGGAGCAAATGGCCTTAAAGAGACTCCACTGTAAATATTCAACCAATCCAACCACCACTGAAGATGGAGATGGAGCGCTGGAGGAAGAGAGATCAATGCGTGAGGGACTCCAATCCTGATCTGCTGACCCAGAAAAAAGTGGAAAGGACGTACTTGAAGCTATCCCCTGAGAGTCAAAGCTTGAGCTGGCGTCAACAGACCCAGAAGTTCTTGCCACTGACCAAAAGTCCTGAGTTGAGAGAGTGCTAGGGGTACCAAGAAAAACCTCCAGTGCAGACCTTCCGTTCGTCGGGACACCCTGAGGCACTGGACGAAGTGGTTCAGGAAGGCGAAACAATTCCTTTGGGTTCAGTTATCAACCTCGAGATACGAGTGTAGAATCGTAGTATCTGTTGAAGTTGGAGATGGCCTCTGTACGTTGGGGCTTAAGCTGACGTCAGAAGGCCTAGCAACTATTGTCACTGAAGAAAAAATCTCTCCTGAGATAAGATACGTTCGAGTAGCCAAGCTACCATGTAGTCAACCTACAGGAACATACACATGGTACACAAGAGTGATGAAGGCCGTATAAACAGTGATCGTAGGAACGTATAGTTCGCCAAATGAAGTGTTGGTCCGCCAGATGGAATGAGAAAGTTAGTAGATGCGATGCATGGGATCGTCAGTCTACCGGAACATTCGTAAAGTTGATAGAATGGCAGAGGTAAAGACCAGTGACCCCAGGAATGTTCATAAAGGAGACGAAGGTAGTAACATCGATGCCTACAAATAGTCCGGACATAGCTACAGTGACCTCTGAACTGAGGCCTTAAGCTAAGAACCGAGTAAACCCAGCCAAACTGAAAGCGTCATGGCGATTCTGTCTGGCACCCTCGGTAAACTGTTTCTCCCGGCTGACTGACGTGTGGATCAGCAGCGGAAAAGTTGCTGTTGCACTGGTCACAGTGTTTGTGTTTCTTAGAAGAACTTTGATTCCATATATTTCCCATATTGACAATCAAATAATGTCTAACTGAGAGAACAACACACGTCCACTCGGTGTAGCGACAAGAAAGAGAATGACAGGCACAGACCGTCACGTGATCATCTGAGCGATCTGCACGCTTAATGAGATGATTGACAGGTACTGCTATCGGAGTGGGGGCAGAGGTCGGGGGTCAGAGGCCAGATAACTTTTGATTCAACTTATCCTACAGTACGTTTTCACACATGGTCGTAAAAGAAGAAGAGAGGTGCATACCGTGAGATAGGATAAGTTTAAAAATGTTATATGTCAATTAACGGTTCATCATGACCTCTTGTACTTTTATTCAACTTGATTTTGAGCCTAATTAAGCCTAACTAGTCGGACTAGTCCATCCAGTGCACTTGAGGTAAGGGACAGGGGATTAGCTGTGCACTGGACCATGTATTTTGTTGTTTTAGTCTGTAGAAGTTTTGGCATGTAGAAGTTTTGGGAGGACACCTCTACAACGTAAGGTGGAAGAACATGGATTAATGCATGACGGGCATTGGAGGTGAGGATCAGCCACTGATAGCCAGAACCTGCAAACACTGCAAGATTTCATCAAATGTAAACAATTACATAAAGATAAAATAAGTCAAAAATTACAAATAATTTCTTCCAAATTTTTACTTATAATGCAAGCTAGTTATAACCGAAAGCCATACACAGCGTAATTTGGATAAAAGGATCTAAATGTCAAGGATATAATGCTGTATACGGGACTTGGGCGATGGGCGATGAAGGAGAGAGTGGCAAGTATGGCTGGTCACATGACTGTTTGCGCGGGAAAAGGGAGGTAACTCGTGGGTGAGTTAACTTTTAGAGAACTACAAGGGATTCAAGAGTCCACTAACATTCGCATAAAAGAAGGAGATAAGCAAAAGATCATGAGTCAGGATAAGGAAAAATAATGATACATGAACTGAATCTCATCATAAATTCTAGGTCTATTCAAGGCAGAGTATCTATTTTCAGAGAAATTACAAGACAGAAGCTAAATTCTAGAGCTTTCAGCAAAAGAACTTGAAGAAACTGACTGGATTAGCCCATCTCAAAACTATGAGTGATCCTAGAATATAACCTGAAGGCTGCTTCTTACTATATATTAGACATGGCTTCTTTTCCCAGAATTACCGCATTTGAGGTTTTTGTTTGCTCCCAGGTTTTACTTGGCGTAAGTATGACCTATTTCCCGGTTTTACTTTTTCCTAACTCTATATTAATATCAACATTCAAATTCAGATGATATGTTAGTGTTTGAAATCAATTGAAAAATATCGTCAAAGATCAACTTAAATGTGCAAATGTTTTCCCTAGCAGGATTGGAAACGTATATTTCAGATTCATAAGCAGACGCTCTACCTCACAGCCAGCGGGCCGACAAAGAACGATGGTTGAATTATCTATTTATAGTTAGGCCTACTGTCATTCAAATGATTTTACTAGAGCTTCAGTTACTGTTATGTAGCTTCATTACATGATCATCTAATTATCCATCATTGACAGTTTATATGTATAATAAAGCACTCCTCCTCAGTTATGGTTGGGAAAGTAAGCCCTCGACCATTGGGTGGAGAGAAGTAAGACTTGAGCGCTACGCGCTCTCGGTCTTACTTCTCCCCAACCTCCGGTCTCGGGTCTTACTTTCCCAACCATAACCTCAAAGTCATGCTTTATCCAACACATATGGAGAGTGAATGAACACCAGGAATAATCTTACCTCTTGCTGGTTCTTCAGACTTTGTTCTATTTGTGTTTTTTCCTTCAACAGGAGCTTCATGTAGTCATCTTTCTCCCTCTCTCTTTTCTTCCATCCCTCCACAACCTTCGCCAGTTGCTGAAATTTCAAACTCTAAAGTAACTAAATATGTGAGAGCTGAATATTTAATGACATCACTAACCCTAACGTAAGCATCATTTCCATGAGCATAATTCTGTGATCAGAGCTCCAGATAAGATTTAGCTCATGTGGGTACTGTACCCACTGTATTATTTTGGAGTGGGTATTATGAATGTTGAGTGAGTATTTCAATTTCCGTTACCCACTGCTTTCAAATATGTGCATATTTCAGTCATTTTACTCACCTAAGTATTATGTCATTGAGTAAGTTTACTAAGCAGGTATGTTCTGCCTTATGTCATACCTAATCAAAACCAACTTCAATATAATGGAAATCACTCATCCTATACTGACAGTACAACACTTGCCCTATACTAACAGTACAACTTGATAGCAATCGATGTCATTTTCATTACGAAAGCGGTTTTTATAAATATATTCCGTACGCATTTGTTTAAAACTGTTTGCGTATCTAACATTTTAAATGTGTAATAAGTACGCAACAATTATTTTTCAATGCGTAAATGGGAATTTTCTATGCGTATTTTACTCAGATACACAGCTTATCTGGGCCTCTGTGTGATGGAACTTAGAAGTGTAGTCACATAAGGGGTCCACATTCCAGTGACGTCATCAGACAAAGCAGAGGTTGATATCATGGGCAGCTATCGAGCAGCCAGACAACACATTGTGACAACTCCATCCTGATCAACCAGGTCTTACAATGAGCACTATTTTGGTGGCTTGACATGGCAAGTTCATAATATAACCAATGGGTGATTGAGTGAGTTTGGTTTTACGCTTTTAGCAATATCCCAGCAAAATCATGCAGGGACACCAGAAATGGGCTTCACACATTGTACCCATGTGGGGAATCAAACCAAGGTCTTTGGCGTGACATGTGAACACTCCAACCGCTAACAGGGGTGGAAATAACTTTAAAATTGCTTGTGTACTCTGGTACAGTGGCACATGTTAAATCACTTGCCCTGATAATTATTCCACTATACCGGCCGTTTCCTTGTTGATTTTTTAAATAAACAACATAATTAACATTGGAATATCAACTGGACACCGGTATAGTGTGAAATACAAATTTGCTTGCCCGACAGAAAAAAACATTGGACTCGGGCATCGGGCAATGGGTTATTTCCACCCCTGGCTAAGCTACCCCACCATGCCATAAAACCACTGGAATGGGGTAATGAAATCCAATTTAATCAGAAATTAAGTATGTCAATGATAATGCTTTCCTCTATCATCCTACCTTGTCCAACTGTTCTATCATGATGTCTTTCTTCTTGTCTGTTGACACGGCAACCGCCAACTGCTGCTGTGTCTCCAGTAACTGTCAATGAACAGAACACAATCTCTCATCAATACTTGACATCCTGTACATAACACACCTAGTGTCATTAACACTTGTCACTATAAAATACATAATTTCTGAGACAGTTTCTCTCCAGTTAGAAATATGTTTCCTGTAAGTAGGCAATGTATTACCTTTGCATTCAGCTGTTGAATATGCTGTTCACAGTGCTGAAATGACAAACAATATTCACACATTTTTACAGTGTTCTCAATAACAACAATAATTTTCAGTGACACAGAGTAAGAAGACACAAATGATAACTGACTTCTGGTTATCTATTGACTATTGTCTCGTACTCATACGTTGTTGATTTCTCGGTACATCTATGAATGCCAGCCTCTTCTATCTCCTTCCAATTTATCACTACTGCTATCAAGGGCTGGCTATCCATATTGGTCATAGAGACTGATCATCTATAAATGAATATCGATCTATGAATACAGACCAAACTTTGTACATTTTCTGAGTAAATTCAAGAATTATTTCATCCCAATAGTTCATGTACAATATAAACAAATACACAAATTTCGTATCAATAATCCCACAACAGCACCCACATCCCATCCATCCTCCAACAGCACCCACATCCTCCAACAGCACCCACATCCTCCAACAGCACCCACATCCCATACATCCTCCAACAGCACCCACATCCTCCAACAGCACCCACATCCCATACATCCTCCAACAGCACCCACATCCTCCAACAGCACCCACATCCCATCCATCCTCCAACAGCACTCCAAATCCTCCACGGCACCCACATCCCATCCATCCTCAACACCACCCACATCCTCCAACAGCACCCACATCCACAATAGCACCCACATCCCATCCATCCTCCAACACCACCCACATCCTCCAAACAGCACCCACATCCTCCAACAGCACCCACATCCCTGACATCCACCCACATCCCATCCATCCTCCAGCACCACCCACATCTCCAAACAGCACCCACATCCTACAACATACCACCCACATCCACCCATCCTCCAACAGCACCCACATCAATCCATCCTCCAACAGCACCCACATCCCATCCATCTTCCAACACCACCCACATCCTCCAAACAGCACCCACATCCTTCAACAGCACCCACATCCCATCCATCTTCCAACACCACCCACATCCTCCAAACAGCACCCACATCCTACAACAGCACCCACATCCCATCCATCCTCCAACACCACCCACATCCTCCAAACAGCACCCACATCCTACAACACCACCCACATCCCACCCATCCTCCAACAGCACCCACATCCAATCCATCCTCCAACAGCACCCACATCCTACAACAACACCCACATCCCATACATCCTCCAACAGCACCCACATCCAATCCATCCTCCAACAGCACCCACATCCTACAACAGCACCCACATCCCACCCATCCTCCAACAGCACCCACATCCAATCCATCCTCCAACAGCACCCACATCCTCCAACAGCACCCACATCCAACCCATCCTCCAACAGCACCCACATCCTCCAAACAGCAACCACATCCTCCAACAGCACCTACATCCTCCAACAGCACCCACATCCTCCAACAGCACCCACATCCTCCAAACAGCAACAACATCCTCAAACAGCACCCACATCCTCAAAATAGCAACCCATCCTCCAACAGCACCCACATCATCCAAACAGCAACAACATCCTCCAACAGCACGCACATCCTCCAAACAGCAACCACATCCAACCCATCCTCCAACAGCACCCACATCCTCCAAACAGCAACCACATCCTACAACAGCACCCACATCCCACCCATCCTCCAACAGCACCCACATCCTCCAAACAGCAACCACATCCTACAACAGCACCCACATCCCACCCATCCTCCAAAAAGCAACCACATCCTACAACACCCACATCCTCCAAACAGCAACCACATCCTAGAACAGCACCCACATCCCACCCATCCTCCAACAGCACCCACATCCTCCAAACAGCAACCACATCCTACAACAGCACCCACATCCCACCCATCCTCCAAACAGCAACCACATCCTACAACAGCACCCACATCCCACCCATCCTCCAACAGCACCCACATCCTCCAAACAGCAACCACATCCTACAACAGCACCCACATCCCATCCATCTTCCAAACAGCAACCACATCCTACAACACCCACATCCCATCGATGTTCCAAACAGCAACCACATCCTACAACAGCACCCACATCCTACAACAGCACTCACATCCTACAACAGCATCCACATCTCACCTATCTTCCAAGAACACACACATCCCATCTAGCCACCCACCTTTCTTCTGTATCGCTCCTTTTCCATCACCTCCCGTAGATACATGTTCTCGTTGTGCACTGACCCCTCCTGACGTCCCACACTGGCGGCAGACAAGTCAGAGAAAATCTTGGAAGAAAAGTTGGGGAAGCTCTCAAACAGTTCTGATACCTCCTCTTGCACTCTTGGCCTGAAACAATATCCACATGCCAATGTCACCAACCTTGACCCTGACACACAACAATTACCATGAGCCAAAATACCCACAAACCTTGGATTAAAACTGACAAATGCAACATTTTACATCCACATCAGTTTTATACTGAGACCAAGACATGAATGTTGCATAATTACCCCATGAAAGAGCTTGTGTCAAACTTGAGTTGTCTGTTGAGAGGTTGGTCCATCAGTAACTGACTGGCTGTGTCACTGTGGTCAAACTTCCCAGACTCGGCTGAAACATACGAACGTGATGCAGAACACAGAACAGACAAGTCATACTGTGGAATCATGACAAAGGTGTTCTCTGTAGATATAATAGTCAGCACTAGTGATGGCTATTGGCATGACTGTCATATTGCAATTATGATTAATGTACAGCAATACATACTACGATATATTGCATACTTTTTTCTATCTGTCATTTCTTATAAACCTGAAGAAGAATAACCAACACTTTTTATAACTTAACAATCTTTTGCCACTTATTGCATGTTGCAAAAGCCACAATGCAAACATAGTAGACTCACTATATACCAGGAATATACTGACATACAGGAATCTTGTCCATTTTCGGCCTATTTCCATCACAATAATCAGCTGACAATTTCTGAGGTTAATAATTTCAATTTGATTTGTCATTTATGTACAACTTCACCAGTAAAAGTGATTTTGAAAAAGTATTCACAAAGATGCAATATCTTGAAAATATGATGGGCATTCATAAGTAGTTTTATCCATAAAATATTCACCAACCATTAATGCTGCACACATCCAGTGAGCACAGACATGACACATCCTTTTATCATAAATATTGGAACACACAGTATTACCATGCAAATGACACTGTTAGCATGGTTAGTGAATCAAATCTGCTTGCCCTCTTTAGACAATTAGAAGTCAGGATGCTAAGTCTCAAGTACCTTTCATGACATCATTGGAGAGCCTCAGCATGCTCTGAAGATGGCTGCGAACACCCTCCATGCCATGAACATCTTGTGCTACATCTCCAGCCCTTGTTCTCTCCTGAAACAATCAAAGTGTATCTGTCAGAGTGTAAACAGGCGTGACAGAGTGAGTTAAGTTTACTGATCCAAGGAGTCAACTGCACTGATCTTGCCTGAGAACCTTAGGATTTTATCAACATTTTACAGGACTTTGTTCAAAATAGTTCATGCCATTAACAAATTTGAATATATAAAATCCTTTCTGGGATGACAATCAATGCATATCCCAGGAAATAACTTGGTGTTGTTGTATCTAAGATCACCTTAGCGCTAAGAACACTTTGTACAAAAGCACCCAAATCTCAAACCCTTCACCTCTTAGGCATAGGATGAAGTTTATATTTTGTACTCTAGAAGGGCTCGATCCAACATACTCTGGGGACCAAAACGGAGTCTATATTTGATTGCGGACACAAAGTCCTAATTTGTCAATACTATAGCCAAGTTGTTGATTGTCCTTATAATATTTTCAAGGAAAATGTGAAAATGACAATGATATAGTTGTAATAAAAGTCCATGTCACCTACCTGTTGTGGAGAGAAGCTGTATCCAAGAGATTCTGGTGACCTTATCTGACCTACTTGTGTGCTCACAGCTTCATGATCATACATTCGGGGGCTGATGGTTGAATCGTGATAGCTCTGACGCATGTAAGATGAAGGAAAACCCTGTGACTCAGGCCCAGAATACACCACACCCTTATCTTGATACCTCATCCTGGAGCCAGGACTACTGGAAACATCGTTCTGATGACCCACACTTGTTTTAATTTCGCTACCAACACCACCATAGCGACCACTAGTCACAACAGAACCAGACATGGGACCTTTATCAGGATGAGAAGTAACCTTTACACTTTGATCCTGCACTTTACTCATTTGCTCTTGTTGACCTTGCCTCTGATTGGTCACCAAATGTCTTTGGTCAAGGTCAGCAGAACCTTGAACCTTTGGCCTTGGTTGCCCAGTTGGCTGATTATTGACAGGTCGGCGAACTGGATTCTGTGTTTGATTCTTGCCCCCAATCGGTTTTTGATCTGTTCTATTAAGCCTGGGACAGGCACCATTAATCTGGGTCTTGTAAACTTTACTAGTGTTTTTCACTCTCTGAATGTTCAATGCTATGTGGTTCACGGGTGCTTTTGCAGGAATGGTGTCCACTGTACACACGTTTGGTGTCACCCATTCTGACAATGAACTAGGCATTTGCAAGGCAGAATCTTTTGATTTATGCTGCAAATGGTCTCCAAATTCTTCAAAATTGTTTTGATTAATTCTCTCCGGTAAACTATGAGACATGTTCTCCATATGATCATCCTTACAACCTGAGTATGAGGTTAAAGGCGGCTCTGACTGAGGAGAAGATTGAGCCAATACACTGCTCGGTGGTAAACTTGATCCACCCAAAACAATATTACGAGGTTCTTTTGAAGAGGAAAGTGTTGCATGATGTGGAGACTGCAATGGACTGAACACACTTTGAACAGATCTTTGTGCAAAACTGGGTTCCTTTTGAGACTGGATTTGGCCTCCATAATGAGAAACTTGTTCCTCTTTCTCATCGAGGCTGTCGTATAAATGGGGTGAAATGTCCTGAGACTCCACAGACAGTTTACGTAGGTGAGAGGCCCCCGGTGACACACTGACTGATGACATGTGAACTGATGAAGCATAGGCTGATGACGCAGGGACCTGATCAGGAGGCACCGTGACAACAACCCGTTGGTCCAGCGGCGAGGAATCATGACCTTCTATGATCCTCTGGCTTCCGGACCCAAGAGAACCAAAATTCATCAAATCTGTACCATTAGGTTCCATGTATCTTTCCACAGAAATATCTTGTCCTGGTTGATCATCATAACCAATATCGGTTCCAGTTTCATCAGCATCTGTGAAATTAAGAGCTTTAGCAGGAGTAAACAATTCCTCGCTATCGTCTGGGACATATTCAAGCATCCTCTTCCGCTCGCTGCTAAGAACTGGACTTCCATCTCTTCGTATCACAGTTCTTAATGCTTCGACAGAGTCAAAGTTTGCCTTGAAGTCAGGAATATTTTCCTTATTTTCTGAATATTCATTGTACGGACTTTGTCGTCTTTGACTTGCTTGGAAATCTTGATCATATGTGTCTAGGTCCGGTTGTGACATTGGTGAGTTATCTCCCCTTTCTTGAGCTATGGGGACAAAGCGATCAGTTTCTTCTTCCATTGAGATTTTGATTCCTACACAATATTACTTCTCTCTCTTCATACACTATACATCACCGACTTCTTCCTCTTGCCATTATTCTTGTTCTACACTGCAACAAAAAATATGTTAACATTATACTATCATCCATATTCTCTATCTTGCTTGGTCATAATGCTGGTCATAAGGGGGGTGTGTGTGTGTATTATTCACTGCAGTAGAATTCATGTACATAAATAATGAAACTGGTGAGTAAATAAAAAGAGAGTGTAAGGAAATAATGGTATGCCACCTGCAAAAGACTATAATACATACAAGCAGTCGTAGTGGAGTTATGCTGCTTGACTTTTTAGTGAGTGAGTGAGTTTGGTTTTATGCCACTTTTAGCAATATTCCAGCAATATCACGGCGGGGGACACCAGAAATGGGCTTCACACATTGTACCCATGTGGGGAATCGAACTCAGGTCTTCGGCGTGACGAGCGGACGCTTTAACCAGTAGGCTACCCACCGCCCTGCCGTGATATTGCTGGAATATTGCTAAAAGCGGCATAAAATTAAACTCAGTCAGTCAGTCAGTATGCAGAGAACTTAAAATTGTTTGTGCAATTGTGTATTGTTTACACATATTTTCCACATGTACAAAGCTGATCTAGAGGGAGATCTGTGGTGATCCAAAGATTAACATATATCTATGGATGTCTTTGTGTTATGTGATTAGATTTTCTACAGTCAATTTATGCCCACAGGTAAAAGTTCATTCAATTTGTTCTATCCAAGATTCGATAACACCGATCATGATACACATCTAAAAGAACAACCTTATACATCTCAATAGTGTGATGCAAGTATTAGCAGCTAAAGGCAATCAATATGTATGGTATGATATTTCTCACGCATGTCTTTCAGTCTGTCTGATGTGATTATAAAATCCGTTCTCCACCAATAATTATTTAAAAAAGAGATAGAGATCATACATCTCAAGAAACATTCTTCGATACCGACTCACTGATCGTTCGAGTCTCCTCGATCCGTAGGGTTAGTTGTGTTAGGGTCAGAGAAAGTTGTTCGCAATTTGACCTTGAGTCTTTGCATAGAAAATGTGATCGAAAGTATTCTATAACCTCGGCCCCACTCAACTATGTGAACGAACACACACTTATCCCACTAACACTTCAACTTGCTCACATGAAAATTTCTCAATGTAAAAACAAGCACAAACATGAACTCTCAAAATACCCACAGCCAATTACATATGGAAATAACATCAGTTAAATACATTTACGCAATATTTGGTTATAGCGGGCCATAACAGATTGTGCAAACACATTTGTTTACGTTCAAATTAGTACACAGCAATACCTTGCAACAGTCGCAAAGAGACTCGTTTGACACTTCGCTGTGTTTTCAAACTCGACGGCATGAAATTCGGACATGCGCGCAAGAATTGTAAACACGGAAGTAGTTTTACTTCCGTTTGAAATAAATGCGCACAAAAAAGTGCCCCAAATGAAAATCCAACATATTCAATCTGTAATACCGAAATCTTACGCAGAGTCAATGACGCCCACTTTTCCGTTACACTTTATCTGCCATGTGTCAGCTGTACTGTGTTGTACTGATGCATATGTGGTACTCGCCCGTTATGCACATGCATATCCGCCGTGGTGTTGTTAGGCACTTCCTGTACCTCCCAATCGATTGATTTGGAATCGGGAAAATGACAGTGTTTAATTTCTATATATTTGACCGAAATGGGACGTGTTTGTATTATGCAGAATGGAACAGAAAGAAGCAGTCTGGCATTAGCAAAGAGGAGGTTGTGACATAATGTTGATAAGTTTTATTTCCACTTATTTATGCCAATGTTTGTTTCAAGATTTACTACAGTCAATTTATGCCCACGGGTAAAAGTTCATTCAATTTGTTCTATCCAAGATTCGATAACACCGATCATGATACACATCTAAAAGAACAACCTTATACATCTCAATAGTGTGATGCAAGTATTAGCAGCTAAAGGCAATCAATATGTATGGTATGATATTTCTCACGCATGTCTTTCAGTCTGTCTGATGTGATTATAAAATCCGTTCTCCACCAATAATTATTTAAAAAGAGATTGAGATCATACATCTCAAGAAACATTCTTCGATACCGACTCACTGATCGTTCGAGTCTCCTCGATCCGTAGGGTTAGTTGTGTTAGGGTCAGAGAAAGTTGTTCGCAATTTGACCTTGAGTCTTTGCATAGAAAATGTGATCGAAAGTATTCTATAACCTCGGCCCCACTCAACTATGTGAACGAACACACACTTATCCCACTAACACTTCAACTTGCTCACATGAAAATTTCTCAATGTAAAAACAACTAAACAAGCACAAACATGAACTCTCAAAATACCCACAGCCAATTACATATGGAAATAACATCAGTTAAATACATTTACGCAATATTTGGTTATAGCGGGCCATAACAGATTGTGCAAACACATTTGTTTACGTTCAAATTAGTACACAGCAATACCTTGCAACAGTCGCAAAGAGACTCGTTTGACACTTCGCTGTGTTTTCAAACTCGACGGCATGAAATTCGGACATGCGCAAGAATTGTAAACACGGAAGTAGTTTTACTTCCGTTTGAAATAAATGCGCACAAAAAGTGCCCCAAATGAAAATCCAACATATTCAATCTGTAATACCGAAATCTTACGCAGAGTCAATGACGCCCACTTTTCCGTTACACTTTATCTGCCATGTGTCAGCTGTACTGTGTTGTACTGATGCATATTTGGTACTCGCCCGTTATGCACATGCATATCCGCCGTGGTGTTGTTAGGCACTTCCTGTACCTCCCAATCGATTGATTTGGAATCGGGAAAATGACAGTGTTTAATTTCTATATATTTGACCGAAATGGGACGTGTTTGTATTATGCAGAATGGAACAGAAAGAAGCAGTCTGGCATTAGCAAAGAGGAGGTTGTGACATAATGTTGATCAGTTTTATTTCCACTTATTCATGCCAATGTTTGTTTCAAAATTTATGATTGACACTCCAATCAGTGGAACGTTAAAGGGGTATTGATGAAACAACAAAGTTCGAAGCCTATCGAGGGATTAATCAGAATGAAATTTAATATTCTCTTGCAAATATTGTTTAGCTACCTGTGTATCTAGCTTTAACTGAGATAACATATTGGACGGTGCTGTGGGGTTGATACCGTGTCGGCTTGTGGAGATTTACTACTAACTCATACATTTCTTACTTTGCAGGAATTCAAGTTGATGTATGGCATGATTTTCTCAATAAAATCATTTGTCAACAGGATATCACCAACCGACATGTATCCTTTACATTGAGACATTAGTCTTTAGGATACCAACAATTTTAAGATTACTAACATGTAGGCCTTTTGGAAATATCTGTAATAACCATATATTGTAGGAATCTTATGTTTTGGCTAAAAATAATATCCCAATTGACCCACTGAAGTTACGACTAGCCTACAAGATCACATAGGTCGTCTCGTTCATTGCTGAAATCATAAGCCCCAAAAACATGCCAACCAACCTTGTCTTTTGTCATTTCTAACATGTCTAAAGAAGATGCATGTATATAGCTAAAAATAATATTCCAATATACCCACTGAAGTAACAACTAGGCTACAAGATCACATAGGTCATCCTGTTCATTGCTGAAATCACAGGCTCTAAAACATGCCAACCAGCCTGGTTTTTTGTTATTTCTAAAGAAGATCCATGTATATATTAAATTACCAAATTTAGTTGAGATATGCATGCCAACCCTCCAGGACAGACAATCTCCTGGAGGCATCTGAAAGCTGGAAATAACTGCATACCCTATCGTACCTTAACTGTTTCCAGGAAGGATGGTTTCATGAACTTCAAGACAAGCAAATACAAGCTCCATTTCTTTGAGACACAAAGTGGTCTCAAATTTATAATGAACACAGATCTTAATGTTGGTAGTGTCAAAGAGACATTGCAGCTGATCTACAGCTCGGTAAGTATTAACAAATATGACAATGAACAATATTTGTAGCCGGAAGGGGAAACAACATGTTCAGTTTTTAACGTCTTTTGGTGTGACATAACCAGGGATCAAACCACAACCTTGCAGATCGACACTATCCACTACACCAATGACTAGGATATTTTGGATGACAACCGGTTATTCCAGTAGTGTTAGCAGAAGATACCCCAAACTATAGTACTGTCGGAAATAGAAAAAAACTGTTTTTAGGCTGTTACTCTGTATCCCTAAAATTGACACAATTGCAAATATCATATGTCGAAATAACCCACTTCGGCCTAACTGGGCGTTCAGTGGGATGCGTAATACGATATCCAGAAAAGCATGTTTACTCGTAAAATCGGGCAAAACGTAGAAAAAATACGAATAGCTGCTGAAAACAATAGATCAGACTATAGATGGCAATTAGGTTGCTCAGCCAGGTATGACGACGGACCGTCGACTCACCTGGCATGAAATGCACGTGCTGCCTACAGGCACAAGGGGTCATCTCAAAGATATTTTGTGCTTTTTCATGTGTGTTGACTATGTCTCATCTACTGATTAGCATCTTACGTGTCTTTCTTTCATAAAGTGTATGTTGAGATATGTAAGAGAGTATGATACCCGAAAACCATCGTAATATATAGGCGGCATGACCACCCGAAGATCGAATGACTGGATATTATTTGTAAATTGTTATGGCGTGCCGTGTACCTCCCCAGTATAATTGCCCTAAAGGATTATCTTATCGTAGCTGATATCTCTATCCCCAAGCCCGACCCCAGGTTTTGCTTTTGAGGCGACCCCTCCTATCTGTTTCTTTTTATAGTGACAGTGAGACTGCATGGTAGCTACATCCTTAATAGTTTCGGCATAAAAGTTATTATTTTTTTCGTCAGCTATCGTTTATAATGAATCTACGTCTAATTTCAAATTGGGCATTTAAAAAGTGTCCTTTGTAATACAATATTGTCGCACACTAATTTGCATAAAGCCATGGTCTGTTCCAAATAAGTCTTTTTGGACTTAAAAACCTGCATTGCTCATTTTTGCACTAATTTCCCCTCAGTAAAGTCCTTTTTCTCCGTTTCCTATCTCTCTACCACTACTGAGACTGTAGTTAGGCCGAACTTAGTTCAACAGATATTTCACACTTTCACATATCAACTACATAAATTGTAGAGATAAATGAGAAAATACAGTTTTTTTCTATTTCCGACAGTACTATAGAAATTTGTTTTGTAGTCAAGCTGTCAGTAAAGTAAATCTGAAATCAGATATTCAAGTTCTTTATCCTTTACCAAGCTTGCCCCAAGCTTAGTCCTTGTCCTAAAAGTATAAATAAACAATCTGGTACCTACTATAAAGTGGGCTAAGGTTGCACCACAAACATTGTAAGCTACTGAAAATAATCTGGTTAAAATTGTCCTGCCATCTTAATGGACTCTGACAGTTATTAGAGGTATGTGATGAAAAAACTAAGGCAGGGGTATTATATGACTCCATTTTCACATACTTTCTGCAGTTGTTTCAGAGTACAATGACCATGGAACATTTGGATGCTAACCACTCACTTATATAGATCCATGTCAGAATTGGTCTTCAGCAACCCATGTTTGTCATAAGAGGCGACTCATATAGGATCGTATGATTAGGCTCGCTGACTTGGTGGATGCATGTCATCGTATCCCATTTGTGTAGATCGATGCTCATGATGTCAATCACTGGATTGTATGTCCAGACTTGATTATTATGAGACTCTCATCACATAGATGGAATATTGCTGTATGTGGTGTTAATCAATAAATCAACAAACAGAGCTACAGATAACTTTTTGGGTCATTGAGTTATGTACCCGCTTGTCTTCATCTCAATTGGGTATCCTAATTTTCCTTTGAGTAACCAAACAAATTGTACTCACCTCACTCAAAATCAATTGGGAATTTTGCTTTTTTCCATTAAATGTTAAAATATAATAAAGTTTAAATGTTAGTGTTTGTTATTTATATTTGATCTGTAATATGAGAAACGATATGAAAGACTGCTAGTTGAGTGTTCATGTGCCGAAATAGAACCTCTAAATATACCTCAGTTGCTTTATCTATCCACTGGTACGCAAGCTAAGATTTGACAGTTTTCTGTGTACGCATGTACAATCAAATTAATTGAGTATTTACAAAGATACAAGCGTACTTGTACGCAACAGACGTAATAGGAATTGAGTTTTCACATAAATATTTGCGTAATTTACGCAGATACGCAGCTTATCTGTACCTCTGAACAAACAAACAGTAGTATAATTTTCGGACTATGGTCCTACTTGTGCATGTAAGGTTGTAATTTTGATACATTCTTTTTCTAGATCTACGTGGAGTATGTTGTGAAGAACCCCCTGTGTTGTCTGGACCAACCCATTACTAGTGAACTGTTTAAAGCAAAACTAGATGACTTTGTGCGCGGGTTGCCAATCTTTCCTGCAAGTGTGTCCTAACTTGTCAGACATCAGCATTGTGTACTGGGACGTACATGGGACGATTCTGTTGCCCTCAGCCTTTGGAAAATGGAAACTGGTTTACATGTTTGTTGTTGCAGTCAAATGCGGAAACAAGTACTCGGTTTGAAAAAGAATGTTATTGAAGTAGGCATTAATACAGGATGAATCCAGTCAAATATTTCATCTAATTCCTGATTCAGGAGACATTTCTTAATTGGGCCAGACCAATTTTTTTTCTTGTTTTACGGATCCGCCGGTCATATTTTTTCAAGAATAAGAAAAAAAATATAAATTAATTTTCCTCGCTCATAAAATAAAATCCTCATGATTTTATTGGCCAAAAATGTAAACTTACAACAAAAAAATGTTTTGATTTTTTTTGCCCCATATAAACTTCATAAATTGTCAAAAATAAAATTCTTTTAGTATTCAAAAGGAAAATTATTTGACTAGTGATTGTCATTTTATATTTTTTTCCCTCCTGCCTTTAGGTTTTCTGAGGACAAAAATCCGTAAAACAAGAAATAAATTGGTCTGGCCAATATAGTAAAATTATAGTAGACTTACTAATTTATCATCCAAAACTGTGTTCCACAGGAGATATCGCTTGTGTGAGATCATTAGATTTTGTACAATGCCCTGACAATGCTATGACGTCATCAACTTGATGACGTCACAATGCTATGACATCACTGCACTGCAAGTCTAATTGGTAGTACAGTGTTGAGAGATGTACATTTGTCATTGAAAACTAATGAAGAATGACTTTTGATGATAAATAGAATCTCACCCTCGTGTCTACTGATATCAATTACATCAACACTCGTTGATAAAGGTAAAAATATCCTCGGCAAGCCTCGGATATTTGTAAATTTATCAACTCAAGTTGATATAATTGATATCAGTAGACACTTGGGTGAGATTCTCTATATATGACACTTACTAACATATCTTCAGATAAAAACATTGAAATCTGGACTTGTCACTGTTGTTATAGTTTTTATTATCACTAAGTTGAAGCCTTGAAGGTTTTTGTAAATCGTAATTCTTGATTCAGTAAGTATACCCATGCTACATCAGTGTGCATACGAAGTGAGAGATATGTAAGTGACAGTACAAGTTGTTCATATGCACATAGATCTAAGGCATGGAACTTTACAGACATAAATTTTGCAGAAAAGGTACATTCACTAAAGACATTAACATGTTTACATGATGTTGAGATGGATTTACATAGAATTCCTGGTGTATGTACTTATGTCTGAGATTGTCATATGTATACATCAAAATAAGTGATATTCATCTTCAGTATAATGACTTCTACAGATTAAACACAATCTGTTTGCTTAAAGCTCGTCATCATATCTCCGTTCTCAGTTCTGAGATTGTGTGAGCAGCATCTCAACTAGGCATGAGCAATCCAAGTTTGGAAATGGACAATTTCTAACATACGGCCAATTGAGTTTTTGAAATGAATGAATGACAGTGATTTGATACCAGGGCTACAATCTTGCTCACACTTAAGTCTAAAAAGAGTTCTGACAAAAAATGGAAACATTATTTACACACTGCTGCTCCCAAATGTAGCCAAATCCCAAAGAAGATAGAATATTATTAATTTCTGAAACTCAATTAATCTTCCCATTTTACAATCAAGTAACAATAAATATAGCACTTCCTAATATGTGAATATGTATTTTGATGGTATTAGAAATATGGTCAGATGAATGGGTGTTTTAATGACAATGAACAATTTGTTTTTATTGCCATTTTGTCAAGTCAGCTTATGACCTTTAACTTGGTTTCCTCCAAAATCTGGCACATTTAAGTGGAATGTGTAATATGTATTTTGGGCAATATACTATGAATAAACATGTTATGTTACAATTTAATTTTCACTATTTATAACATTTTAACAGATCATAGGGATCTGTTTTTAATAGGCCTACAATGGAACTGAAGTTGTCATGTTAATATTCCAAGGTGAGCTTCTGGTAGCTCGTTGATGTTGGTAAATGCCTGTGTATGTCCTGTGACAAGAGGTATGTGGAATGATTCACAAACTCCTAGTGGATTGTACAGCACGACAGTTCTATTATTTCTTTTTGTGTTCAGTGTATGTTTGTTTCTGTGTAAATACACAGGATACAGGTGGAAATAAAATTGTTCCTTATCAATATTTGTCAGTTATTGGTTTCAAGTCAATATGAAATGTCAATACCAGAGGACAATCAGTTTTGAGCATCATTGGAAACATAGTTAAGTAAGTAAATTTACTTGTTGTGTTATTGACCGTGTCCATTTCAGTCGTAGATGTACTCACACTACACAGACCGAACTCATTGGTACAGAAAACTCTTAAATGAAAGAGCAGGTGCATGGGTCTCTCTATTCCAGAAAACATTGTACCCTTAGGCTTAATTTGAGAAAGGAAACTTGAATAGCCCAAAGCCACAGCAAACAATTTATTACCTTTTTAACCAAATACATAGTTTTAACTGTACAGGGCATAATTTGATTCACATGAAGCTTTAGCTGCTGTAACCCTGGTAACAGGACTCTCAAGAAACGTTTGTAATATTGTCGGTAACTAGGTATAATACGCTCAAAGCAGAGACACAACACGAGTACCCCACAATGTTTGTGACCTTAACTTTTCATAACCAAGCAGAATATATATCACGGATGTTATCAATAATAAACAGCTGTGGCCACAGTCACAGACAGTGTCAACTTGAAACCTCTGTTCAACTTGTTTGTAATACTTTCTAGGGGAGGTAACTCTATTCTCAACGCATGTCGCAAACGCATATCGCCTCAGAAAGAAAGAATCGTATTTTTGAAATCGGATTTACTATTTGAATCGTTTGAGTCACTATCGTTGGCTCTTATCTTTTCCCCACTCTGAAAATATCCTTTCGAAACGCTTGTTTCACGACAAACGTAAATCGTTGTTATACCGGCTACTTCCGGAATGATGCACGTGTAGGTGTTTGTAAACAAAAGACTGTCAACTAACTTCGTCTGTTGCATTCTCACCTTGTTTTATGTGACAGTATCTTTTTCTACGTCAACATGTCTTCAGTTGCACGTTATCTAACCATGAACAACGGCCTAAAGATGCCATCAGTCGGTCTAGGAACGTATCTCTTGAAACAGGACACTTTAAAACAAGCACTGGACTATGCACTCTTTCTAGGTTACCGTCACATTGACACAGCCCTTACGTATGAAAATGAAGTGGAAATTGGAGAAGTAATCCACGAACGAATTAAAGCAGGTAGATTGAAAAGAAGTGAAGTATTTGTGACAACTAAAGTACCTTCAATATATCTCAGCAGAGATGCAGCCATTAAAAGTACAGAATTGTCCTTAGAAAACCTTAAACTGAAGTATGTAGATATGCTTCTGATACACCATCCCTGGGGCGTTGCTAACATAGAACCGTTTAACTCAAAGGAGGAGAAAGAGCTGTGTCAGTACAACATATTGGAGACCTGGGATGCCTTTGAACATGTGCAAAATCAGAATTTGACTAAAAGTATAGGGTTGTCAAACTTCAACCCATCACAAATTCAGAAGATTTGGGACAAGGCGGATGTGAAGCCTGCAAATCTACAACTTGAGCTGCATGCATACTGGCAGCAAAATGTCCTACAGAAAGTTTGCTGTGAGAAAAATATCATCATGACGGCATATGCTCCATTAGGAGCCCCATTTAAGAGTGATATGACAAAAAGTATGCCAAAGCTATTAGAAGATCCATTGATTATTGCAATATCGGAGGAATATGGGAAAAGCCCTTCACAAATCTTGCTGAATTTCTTGCTGCAAAAGAACATTGGTGTCTTGCCAAAAAGTCAGAGTATGGAGAGAATCAAAGAAAACTTTGAAGTGCTTGACTGGAAAATTACACAGATGGATTGTGAAAGAATAGAAAAGTTGGACAACACTGTGAAGTACTTTCCTTTTGAATGGGCTCATGCTCATCCTGATTTTGACAAAAATCAGCCTTTCTAATTCTGAAATAGTATGTTGTGTTGAACTGACATAAGAAGGATTTCAGATTCTCTGGAATTTTCCAAGACAATTCTGCATGATCACAAAAGAGACATCAAGGTTGGGATGGAGGTCTAATATATACATGGAAAAATACTAACATGAAATTATTTAAATACTAACATTGGTGCATAATTCCGTAATGGCTGATGATTAAAATTTTCAGTTTGAACTTGATGACATTTCCACTAAGCATAGCTCATTAAACACACGGTATTATCATCACATATCAGGTTTATTTTACATTTAATGCATAGTTTATCCCTGCTGTTATAAAGAAGGATTGTTTGAACTTATGTTTGACAGTTCTCAAATTACGATACGATAGTTTGTATCTGTTTAGTTTCACCCAGGGTGGTAGGGAAGCCTAGTTGTTAAAGTATTCAGTTGTCATGCCAAACACCCGATATACAGCCCATTCCAGGTTCCCCTGTCATGATATTGCTGGAATATTACTGAAAGTGGCATAAAACCTTACTGACTAGTTTCCCTCCTGTCTGTGTCTTGCACACTTCAGTTTTGATATGTGAGTCAGCCAAGTTAATGGTGATATACCAGGGCTTGATTTAGTGCCTTGTTACTTGCACTAGTACAACCTAATATTTGGTAACCTAGCATGGTCATGTCAGCTCATTTCTTCTTCTTGTTCTAGAGGTAATATTCACATGTGTTATTCCCTTGATTACCTTTGGAGAAGTTAAATGCATGTAATGTAGTCAACTGCAGATTTCATGATGTAGTTGTACTTGATCTGAATGTGCCATTAAGCAACCAGTACACACTGTATTACACTGACTGCAGGTTTGGGACTCGTGAAGATCCGGTGTAGCAGGCCATTTCTTCCCCGGTCTAAACTTCCCCCGGGATGAATCTGGCCTAGGCCAAACTTTCCCCGGGGAGGTTTTGTCCTAGGATATTCTTACCCCAGGGAAAGTTTGGGCTAGGCTAAAGTTCCCCCACCCCTAGGCTAAACTTTCCCCCTGTTTAAACTAGGATATTTTGTTCTAATTTCTATGAAAAGTGGGGAGATTCTGGCCTAGCTAGGACACTTCTTCCTCCCCTTCTTTTTATATCAAAAGGGGGAGATTCTGGCCTAGCTAGGCTACTTCTTCCCCACCCTTGTTTTTATATCAAAAGGGGGAGATTCTGGCCTAGCTAGGCTACTTCTTCCCCACCCTTGTTTTTATATCAAAAGGGGAAGATTCTGGCATAGCTAGGCCACTTCTTCCCCACCCTTGCTCTTTTAAACCGACAGTAGTTTTGACTTATATTTTGGCACACATTTTTGCCAAATAGCCCATTTTTGCCTCTTGACTTGGGTGTAGTGATTTGAATGCATACATGTTTGAGCGGCATATATCTCTAAATCCATCCTGCTCCTGACGCCATTCCTATGAAGACACATTGCATTAGTTCTTCATTTGTCCAAATCATGTTACCATAAGTTGTAAACATTCGATTTACTAATCCATAGTCACTTTTGGTGAATGAAATATGATTCAGATATCCAAGGGCCAAGTATATCCCTTATAAAACCTTGTCTTTTGAATATAGAATAAGGCAATATAGTGGAATGATTTGATATAGATATTGTGTTGGGTTGTTGTTGTGTTGATGTTTACGTCTGCTTCTAACTGTTAAGTTGATGTCGCCGACGTGGATGCCATATTTAAAGCCATTAGTGAGGGAATAAAATTTCGAATGGATATGGACATCCAAGTAAAAACTGGGTATTTAGTTAAAGTTTCGAATATAGTAATAATTTTGAGATAAGCCAATTTGGAGTAAGTGGGGATAAGTAAATTATTGAAATATAAAAATAAGTAAATGATAATATAAAACAATAGTAATGATAAAATATCTTTACTTTTATGCTTGCTTTTCTTTTTAATTTCACCTTATATAAGGATATTGAAACAAAATGTGAACCATGTACAATTGTACATGTTATATATGAAGATGAAGATGACCTGTAGTGTAAATTGTTAATGGAACTTGACATCAACATGAATATCTTTTCAATGTGTTCACGTGAATAGCTATGTCTTGTTTTCGTTTCTGACTTTTTCAAGACAAACATAAACATGAAAACAAGGTTAGGGAAGAAATAGCCTAGCTAGGCCAGAACCTCCCCCTTTTGATATAAGAACAAGGATGGGAAAGAAGTAGCCTTTGAAGTTGATTCAAGGGTGGGGAAAGTTTGCCTAGGACAAACTTTCCCCAGGGAAGTTTAAGCCTAGGCGGAGAAAGTTTGGCCTGGGCTAAATTTTCCACGGGGAAAGTTTCTCCTAGGGCAAAGTTTCCCCGGAGAAAGGTTTGGCCAGGGGCAAATTTTGGCCTGTTACACCGGGTTAGAATTGGTATTCAGCAACCCATGCTTGTCATACGAGTCGACTATTAATGGGATCGGGTGGTCAGACTCGCTGATTTGGTTGACACAGTTCATCATATCCCAATTGCATAGATGGATGCTCATGATGTTGATCACCGGATTGTCTGGTCCATACTCATTTATTTACTGGCTGCCGCCATATCGCTGTGATATTACAGAGTGTAGCATTAAACAACTAGCAAATATAGAATAAATTGTGTTTCTGAATCATGGCATTAGCTAATTATATAAATAGATAAATGTTGTAAAAGGGCAGATTTAAACAGCATGAATGTCAAAAGTGCATTTAAATAAATAATTTGCCATTTTGCCAACATTTGGGCATTACAGGCCCTGTCTATACTAAAAAACTGAAGAATATTTTGAATAAATCCAAGAAATAGCAAAATCAAATTAAATTTACTGAAAGCCATGAGAACCCACACATTATTTGAACTGGGCAAATGCAAGATCTATATCTGCCAGCACTTATCAGGGATTTACCTAGTCCAGGTGAGGGTGCCTGGGACTTATGCTTAATTTTCAGGGATTTACCTTGAGTCCTGTATTTGAGGGGTGCCTGGGACTCATACTCTTAATTTTCAGGGGTCCTGGACTACAAAATGGGGTCCCCGACACTCAAGACTCATTTGATCAAAAAAATTTTAACAATAATAAATTTTTGGGCCCATTGTCAATTTTATAGGACGCAGGAATTCGCCTCCCGTAAATCCCTGACTTATTTGAACCCAAGCCCCAAACAATATGTAATATAATGTGATACTGATTGCTGGTCATTTTTTTACTGATGTGAATTTACTTGTTTTGTTATGAATATGTCATAATATTTATATGTATGGTACTAAGCTTTTTATTGATTTTTAGATTTGTGTGCATGAATATATCTATACAAATGCTGAGTTTATATATAATATATATATATTGTATTATATTTACTCGATTGGATCTGAAATATACATTAAACTTTTACCACTGAGATAAATGGTATTCTACTGTTTTGGTTTTGCTTGTCCAGGCAACATTAGCATATTTTCTTATTGATTATTTTTAGATTTCGGCTATATTGACAGAATTGGTCCCTAGCAGCCTGAAGGTGAAGGGGCTATACATGCTGCATGTCTCTGGCAATCTACAAAGAAGGTCCGGGTTAGAATTAACCTTCAGTAACCCATGCTTGTGGTAATAGCTTAACTAACGGGTGGTCGCTGGCTTGGTTGACACATGTCATCGGTTCCCAATTGCGCAGATCGATGCTCGATGCTGCTCATGCTGATTGATCACTGGATTGTCAAACCTATACTTGGTTATTAAGGTTGCCATCATATGGTTAGAATAATAATATCGACCAACTTTAAATTGTTATTTTTCATATTTCACAGATAAGCCAACTCAAATGGGATTTCACAAAGCCTTGTTCCCAAAGATTTAGGGTGCTGTGGGGTAGGCTAGTGGTTAAAGCGTTTGCTTGTCACACCCGCATCTGGTTTCGATTCCCCACTTGGATACAATGTGTGATGCCCATTTCTGGTGACCCCGTAATATTGCTGGAATATTGCTAAAAGTGGCGTGAAACCCAACTCACTCACTCATTGTTATGATTTAGAGGAGGTAGAGCAGAAATTAGGGGTCAATCATCCCTTGCAACATTCTTGTTTCTGTTCTGTCTTGCATTCATTTACATTGGCAGGGTAGTGGCAGACATTCACCCATGTTGATATAGTATCAGTAGACATCCATCGTCATTCACAGAGTAGGGGAAGACGTTCTTCAACATTCACAGTGGCGGACATTGTGTATATCGCTGCTCGAGCTATCAACCACGGGTTTGTCTGATCCACACGTCATTATCTACAGTTCTTGGTGGTGTTGTTGAAAAAAACACATGGCATCTCAGTGACCACAACCTGCCATTTTGACATTTTTTCATCTCTAAAACCAAAAGCGGCGGTGGGGTAGCCTAGTGGTTAAAGCGTTCGCTCCTCACGTCGAAGACCCGGGTTCGATTCCCTACATGGGTACAATGTGTGAAGCCCATTTCTGGTGTCCCCGCCGTGATATTGCTGGAATATTGCTAAAAGCGGCGTAACAACCCAACTCACTCACTCTGACACTTTTGCGCTAGTGTGTCCTCGTTCCTTCTCTCCCCATTTTGCAAGCGCAAATTCCGAAGACTTGTCTACAAACAGCCAGAAAACAAAGCATTTATTGCCTGGTCTGACTTTCCTTGATGTGTTGAAACAGCCGATGACTATTTCGTTTTCACCAGCAATGTCAGTCATTTCACGGTATGGCCATTGGGGCGGTGGGGGTAGCCTAGTGGTTTAAGCGTTCGCTCGTCACGCCGAAGACCCGGGTTCGATGCCCCACTAACGCTTAGTCTCTGAATATATATAATTTTGATAGTAATAAACAAGCCCATTTAAATTGAAAAGGAGACCCAGAGAGACCAGAGATTCAGAGTTTGAACCCGAGGAAATCTAGACTTGCTTTATTTAGGGCTTTAGCACTGCAGATAGGGCTCGGCAGTAGGGAAAATAATGTGGTTCAGGGACTGTGAGACAGACTACGGTGCCATGTGTTAAGCCCATCTCTGGTGTCCCCCGCCGTGATATTGCTGGAATATTGCTAAAGGCTGCGTAAAACCATACTCACTCACTCGCTGGGTACATTGTGGATAAATGACCTTGTGTGTTTTTGAGTTTACTGTACGAAATATAAAGCAACTGCGCCTCAATGAAAAGCTTGTTTATTATTTCTGAAGTATACAATATAGACCTATTTCAAATCACAATATCAAAAGACAAAGACAGAAACTATTAAAAAAATACCTGTTGTCTTGGGAAACGGTAACAAAATAAGAAAAATATGACATTTAGCTGCAACAATTAACCAATGAAATAACAGAAGGTACATAACATATATATGAATGGAGATTTACTGAGGCGTGGATATAAAACAAAAATGGTCTGGTAGCTTTAATCGACTATTTGAAAAGAATTAGAGTAATGAATAAACTTTGACGCACATTTAAAATAATATAGAAAGGGGTAGCAGACAAATGTTACTCCTAGATTATGTCATTACTTTTGCTTTCTTAAATGGAGTACATTATTATTAGGAAGCAATGCCTCTTTTTCAAGAAGGCATGAGTAAATTGCAGAAGATCAAGAAAATATCCTGCTCACAGAAATATTAAAAGTTGTTCGCTTGGGAAACAAGGGACAATAATTTCAAACTCAAGGAGAGAAAGACCTAAAGAAATGTCAAGTTGATATCTACAGATGACTAAAGAGGTTTTCACCATGGACGGATCGACAACATTAACACCATACAACACCATGTAAAAATAGCAGTGTCTGTTCAGGGTAACAAGGCATATCACAGGTTTGCTTGCTGTCGTGGCGGATTTGGGGACACTTCACAGTATTGCTGACACATCCTCACGGTTTACCTTAACGGACAGCTGTGAGTACGAGGTGATTTATACATGTGGCAGAAACATCACCAACAACACGAACGACATTACCAACATTTAAGTGAATAAATCATGTTAAAATAAAATCATGAAACTTGCAACACAAATTTCATCATTTCCAATACAGAATAACAGCGTCAACTCGAACTAATGGGAACCACAGAAAATCGAGATATCCGTAGTTCGAGAAAAATGAATAGTTATTGACCATATCATTGCTAAAAGACAAAACCTCGCATATCAAATTAAATTCCAGTTAATGAAATCTTACTGAATGTGTTAATTCAAACTGGAGCCTGTTGATACAAGGCACATTTGATAACTAACGAACAGCGATGACCGGCTGTGTGCGAATGTTTCTCGATGTCAAAGAGAATGTTGTCATCATACAACGTAGGTTTCCAAGGCAACGCTTACAGACAATCAGTTGTTTATAGTGTCAGTAATTTTGGCACCGAACTTTAATGAGACATTTGCGTGTTCAGTTGTAATGCGTGTAGGTCCAGTTGGTGTTCCGCCATTAGGAATAACTGAAGTAAATGAAGCCGCCGAATGGAAACGTAATTAGAACATGTCCACAATGTTATCAATGATTAATTGTGACTGTCAATTTAACGCCACATTTCAAAACGACGTGCTTGATTTACGGCAGAAATCACGACCTTACCCCAAGTTGACGCATGCGTACACGGGGGGATAGGTTGCTATGGAACTGGACATTGTTTCTTAAGTGTATTTCCTTGTTGTTTTGAGAGAAAGGAATGTTTTGAATATTCATGGTCATCTGATGTCACTATAATTCATTGATGCGTGACATGTATTGTCTGAAGCAGAGAATGTGTTTTATGCTAATATGATATGGTTGTGTATGATTCATCCATAAAGGACATTCTCCTCGATCAGTTATATACCAAAAATGATTTATATTATTAATGAGAATATGACACGGGAATGTTGAGGACGGAACAGCGCTGTCAACCAAAATAAACATGAATAATATATTTTGCAGGGAATCATCACCAACATACGTCAATGTTAAGAAACTCCAATGATCTAAGTATGAAACCTTACCAACAAATGGCTCATTTAGTGAGTGGTTCAAATCAACCACGGTTCCCCGGACATGCAATGCTATAAATGTGTATAAATATACCTCCATAGTTATATAATCCAATGAATATCACATGGATGTAAGAACATAAAAAATACCAACAATGTACAAAGGTGCAATACATTGTCATCATATAACAATGGTTGTGACACGTGTTGATCGTTCAGACATTGAGCACTAATTGAGTAATAATTTCCAGATATCACACGGATACAATCCAGATATCACACGGATACAATTGTCCTATCTAATAACTTGGCATCTGTTGTGGTTTTATCACAGACTTGAATATATATTTCTCTTCGTCAATACTGTCCATTAATTGAAATACATGAAACAGATTCGTAAAGGCGGTCTTGAAAACGAAGGACAAGGTTGCTGGTACTGCCTCGTTCTCACACGCCATTCGTGAAGTTGCATAAGAGCTATTCCAATTATCTATACAAGTGAACTGTTAAACTTTGAAATGTGCCCTGTAACATCTGATAGGCGGAAATGACATTTTGTGAACTCCCTAGTTCCGGCTTCGTTAATCCATTCTTATGTCCCTGACACGACAAACGAGGCTTCTGATATTTCCAACACCAAGATAGATGTGAGACTTTCATCGTTTCGTTAATCCAGCCATCTGAACCTACAGTATCACCGTCGATACCTATGGACGAGGCTTTATTACATTTCAAACACCAAGATGGGTAATTGAGTTGCGTGATTGTTTTGTATACAGAAGGATATTTCATTTGTTTCCGAATGGTATAAAGCTCCGACAGGTGATACTGGTCAGTGAGGTGCGTTCAGTTGCCAGGGGGCGCGGACTTAGCACCTTTACCCCTCCTGCCCCCCTGGGGACTCCCCTTCCCCTTCCGTTTACCCTTTGGACTCTTCTCTGGTTCGGGCTTCTTCGGTCTGTCTCGGTCTTCCCTCGTCTTGCTTGACGACTGGTCCGAGTAGGTGATTGAGGCTCTGCCCCGAAGGTTCTCCCAAGCCTTCGGGAATCCAAGGACGATCTTGTTGTCCGAAACATCCACCTCTCGGACTGCAGGTAGTTTGCATATGCTCTCTGGAAGGACTTCCAATACATTGTCAGAGAAATCCAGAACCTCCAATGCTTTCAACCTGTCAAACTCTCCAGGGAGGGACTTGATGTCGTTGCCTTTTGCCCTCAGCACTTTCAGCCTATAAAGATACGGAAATCCCATTGGCATCTCGTCAATGTGGTTGAACGATACATTCAACGTGGTTAGAGACGCTAAGACGTCTATCCGATCTCGAGGAAAGGTCAAAAGTTCATTGCTGGAAAGGTCAAGGCTGATGAGCTTGTTAAGGTCACCGAAGTCATCGGGGAGGAGGCACATCTTGTTGAAGGACATGTCAAGGTTCTCCAGTGAGAAGAGCCTCAGAAGTCCCGGGGAGAAGTCAGCTATGGAGTTATTGGACACGGTCAACCGTTTCAGCTTTTTCAGCACCGTGAGTCCGTCCGGAAGATCGGTCAGCTCGTTGTGGCTGACCACAAGACTCTCCAGAGCCTTCAGCTTGGATATACCGTCCGTGAGAGACTTCAGGTTGTTCTTTGACATGTCCAGATGGCGAAGGAGTCGGAGGTTGAAGACAGCAGGAGGAATCTCATCAAGCTGGAGGTTACAAATCTCCAGATGCGACAGGTTCCGTAGATGATCCTTATCTCCAATGACAACCAGAGGCGAACGTAAGTCAGTTGGGTTGACGGTGAGTGGGTTATTAGACAGATAGAGGTACGCACATGGCTTCGGGATGTTTAACTCAGTCAGGCTGTTGCTGGAGACATCAAACGAATGAAGCTGGTACAAGAAGTCAATTGACTTGGGGATGGCTGCAATTTCGTTATGGCTCATGTGGAACTTCTCCAGGTTGCGGACCTTTCGGAGGTCAGCGGGCAGAGCTGCCAGCCTGTTGTAGGAGATATCAAGGGTGATGAGGATTTGTTCCTGGCCGAGACTGTCTGGGAGGATGGAGATCTTGTTCTGGGCAATGTTTAGATGCTTCAGTGTTGTCACCTTACCGAGAGATTCAGGAACCTCTCTGATCCCGTTACCAGACACATCCAGGGTCTGAAGAGCCTTCATCTCTTGAAGTTCATCCGGAATAACTTCAATTTTATTTCTAGCCACATACAGATGTTCCAATTGTTTCAAATAAATCGCGAATTTCATGGAGTTGAGGCGGTTTCCTGACACATTGAGGCTTTCGATACACTGCAGATCTTTCGTCCCTGTCGGCAGGTACTCAATCTGGTTGTCGGAGACGTCCAAAACTCGGAGCTTCTTTAGTAAATGGATATCATTTGGCAAAACAGCAATTTCATTACCAGCAACGTTGAGTGTGTCCAGTGCATAGCCAAGACTGCATATCTCTTCTGGAAGCACTTTAATAGAATTGTGCGAAACATTGAAATAGTGCAGATACTTCACCATCCCCACCTGCACAGGAAGCTCATCCAAGGAATTGTGGGAAAGGTCAAGCCAGGTCAAGCATCTCAATTTGTCAATGTTTTCCGGCACAAATGCGATTGCATTATGGGAAAGATCCATACTCTTGATATTTGGCTTTTTAACAGCAGCAGAGGGCATTTCCGTAATCCTGTTACCTGCCAGTTTCACAAACGCAGCCACTTCATACAGACCCTTCTTGAACGATTTGATCAGATTAAACGAAACATCTATATGTGTCAAAGATGGCGACTTTCCTAGATTCTTGGGCAAAGCTCTGAGTCTATTATTTTGAGCATATAAAGTTCTAAGGCCAGTGGATTTATGTATAGAAGGAGGCAACTTTTTAATACTGTTATTAGTGATGTCTAACGTCACAAGCTTCTTCATCCTGGATACCGAGCCAGGGAAGGAGGTGAGGTTATTGTTCTTGACGTCAATATACTCCACGTTCTCCAGATTGGCCAAGCCTTTGGGTAACCTCTTCAGACGGTTGTTCTCAGCGTTGAAGCGTAGCGTCAGTGCACTCAGTTCCTCGTTGTCGTAGATCTCGATGGGTAGCGTCTTCATGTTGCACGTGCCGAATTTGAGGTGAACTGCCTTCCCGTCCCCCAGGCGTTTGATGTGGTTCTTCTTGAGGGGGTCGGGCAGGGAGACGATCTTGCTCCCCGGGCCGGTGGCTGGAGGGGGCTTTTCATCCTTCTTCTTGCCTCTCTTACTCATGGCGGTACTGGCTCGCACAGACCGAGGTCGAACTGGGGCACCTGCAATCAGATGTATATTGTCATCGAAGAGAAAAAGAAATAAGAGTTGCCCATCACCAGAGGCCATGTTTAAGTGTGTGTGTGTGTGTGTGTGTGTGCGTGCGTGTGCGTGTGCGTGTGCGTGTATGTATGCGTGCAGGTGTGTGCGTATGCAACGGTGTGTTTGTGCGTGCGTGTGTGTGTGTGTGTGTGTGTGTGTGTGTGCGCGCGCGCGCGCGTATGTGTGTGTGTTGGGGGGGAGGAGAGTTCGGGGTGTGTATGTTCTGTGTGTGTTTGAGCTCGCAGGGGTGTGTGGTACATGTGTGTGAGTGTGTTCAGGTATGTGTGAGTTTGGTCTGGCGTGTGCGCGTGCGTGCGTGTGTGTGTGTGTGTGTGTGTGTGTGTGTGTGTGTGTGTACCTGATACGCCAAACGTGATTTATCAGAGCTCAATGTCGTATCAATTATATGTATAATCTATAATTAAATCAGCTTATTTACTTAACCAGCAGTGGAATTGCTTCACAAGTATTTCTAACGGTGTTATTCACAAAAGTCAAATCACCAACTAAAGTACCCCAAGTACTTCAATACTAGTATATCATGACAAATTACCCGATAATACGCCATAGATGTTTCCTACCGTGAATTCAAGGCGTGAGGATTTATAAGCTGACGGCGATTAATGGCTTGGATCAAGCTGGTACACCTGGCCTTTGGGCCGACTTGCACAAACCGATCTTAGCACTACCGTGATCGTAGGCCAATATTCAAATATAGGAATTAACAGAACCTAAGCACTAAGATCGATTTGTGAAATTGGGCCCTGTGCAATACATATGTAAGCGGTGAGTGTAAAATATATGTAAGCATAACACTATTCAAAATAACGACTTCTATTTATGTAGCAATGCTATTATGTAGTCTTGATAACGTACTTTGTGTATCCCTGAGAGAAGTGTAAACTGGCATGGCTCCCAAGGCCAAAAGCTATGAATACACAACAGTACTAGATCCGAATCTTTACTGCGAAAGTGTAATACCAAACATATCATATTACATTTAACTACTTTCTAAAGACACTAGGTACTAATTTCCTTTATGTATCGTTCAGGTAACACCTTCTCGTGTTTTGTTTTTATCCTGTGTGGAACAAAAGCGTTTTCCGTGAAGTGCGGCTTAAGGGGTATTTTCTTTTATTTTCTTATTAGGAAAGTTTGGCAATATATACAGGCAACAAAATACAGGCAAAATACAGTTGTGAGGGAATTCATTGGCAAAGGCACTAGTTTATTTTGAGTCCTTATTAGTTAGGCAGTAATGTATCAATTCACAACTACTAAATTGTGACAAGTACTCAGAGAAAGTACCAAGAAATATGTCAATCCTTCAAATCCCTTACCGTTCTGTTTCACTACATATCCCGATAGATCAAGATCTAAATGCACAGGGTTTCGAATCACAGCTGTTTGGACAATAATGTTTAAAAATATAAATCTTGACTTCTGCAATCATATATTGTTTTTAAATGTTATGATTCACATATATTTCAAATTTGAACGAAATCGGTGATGAAATAAAGATTTTAGAAAATTCTACCGCTACACACATAACATAAATGATTACAGTGATTCGAACCTCTGTCCCAGAATGTAGCCTATATGTCGCACTCGTTTACATGTGATACGTCTGTTGAGGGCCGGTATAGTCCCACCATGACACACGTAGCTGTAATAGTGTCCTTTGTATAGCATTGACACACACATATATAACCTTTCTTTACAGCGTGATTGTACGCGGGACTCAAAATGTCAGTTATTTATTGCCCCAAATTGCACTGCTTTCGCTATGAGAAAGGTAACACTTTTTAACCCACTCGATTTACAGATAAACTATGGCAGGTAATGGAAAACTTATATCGATTTAGGGCAAAGGGCTATCGATGTGTGTGTATCTTATCTATGTATTGCGGCAGCTCCTTCTTTTATCTCTTCACAGGTACGCGGACTTTGATATTAATCGAGCGCCTTGATTCTATTTGTGGAGCAATCATAGCTTAAAATGATTTATTGACCAAAACATAATTCATGTTTTCTTAAAGTCATGACGGGTTTTTTTCTCAACGAGGTATAGTTGCTAAACAAGATATAATAAAGATTCATTATTTCTGCACCTCAGAATGTGAATATTTAGGCTCTTGTTCCTTTCAAAACTTGATTCCGCATTAGAAAATATTTGAAAGGCCAAAGGAATATTTGCAGTTTTAACTCGTTACTGTAGAGCGATCGATTCAATGCATAATACACGCTGTTAATTTCATCTGCCTTTATGGCGAAATTATTGATATCATAATGATATTATTGTCCTCCTCTTTATATTAGTCTAATAATACGAAAATTATATGATAATTCCACAACAAAAATAATATTCATACGTTTTACGAGGTAATTGTGGTTATAGTGACGACTAATATTATAAAGTTAATAGTTGTGATAATAATGGTGGGAATAATGATATAAACAATTAAAACAACAAAGCGATATATATCCTCTCCTTTAAAAATGAAACCATGCAGCTCTATGGTTATTTCAACTCATTATATATATACGGCTAGCCGTAGTATTAACAATGACTTGATAATACTAACGATACATGTCAAGCATACTACCCACGTACGGTGGTGTATATATAATCAGGGCCCTTATTCTCGGAACGTTCGTAACCCTACGAACTTCTTAAGCCCTCTTAACACATTTGCTACGATCAAAGTTAAGAATTCTTAGGGCTACGAACGTTTCGAGAATAAGGTCCCTGGGTCCCGTTCCATAACGCGTTCGTAACGTTACGACATGTCGCAACTCTATAGTTTATCATAGCCTTACGAATGTCGTAGCGCTACGAACGTTTTGTGGGTCGGGATCCTGCTTACCTTAGTTACGTCTCACTCACGTCACTCTGACATTCTATTAAACGACATATATGTTTATAGTAACACTGTAAAATATAGATAAGAAATATGCTTTGTCAGAGCTTGCTTCATGGGATTGTATCGACATTTAGTTTTTGTCTATTACAATTGTCAAAAAATCGCCCCAAAACTTTAACAGCGTGTCCAGAAAGTGACGAACTGTTGGCCGTAGGCGTCACGTGTTCATGATGTGACTATTATACTGTAAACCCCTTTCGACATAAATCTACTGCTCACTAAAACATTACGTAAACAGTAACGGTTTAACAATGTCCAATTCTGATGTTATGTCGACCTTCGTAAACTCGACCACACATGATACCACAGATTCTCGCGATATTCTTTTAACCAGTTACTTCCCAAAGCAGGCATGTGTACCTTTGCTGAGCATGTTAATTGAAAATGCGAATCAGTATAGGAAACTGTTGGCATTTCCGTCATAATCATCCACCAATTCATACTAATTTATTGATCAGACTGTGAGATGCGATATTTAAAACACATATCAACGGAAAATTTCAAACCAACTTACATGTTGAGGCCATTCTGTCACTATGTACAGTTACTTTCCAGCCAGTGTGTTGTCCGTCCGCCAACACCAAATGACCAGTAGCCAGTAGTGACCAGAGGAATTAGCCCCCGCGTTAATCACTGTAACCCCGCTTAACGCCTCGGGTACGTAAAAGGCCTGTGCGCAATATGTGTCAAATGTATTAGTTCCGGAGATGCGGGCGTCATTAATTAGGCTACTGGGTCGTGTATTGTCTGCTTCGTTTAAAGGTAATTGCGTGTGTTTGTGTGTGTTAAGTAGTTATTATGACTCATTTCGTTCTTGTGTTTAATCTAAATGCGTGAAGGTGTATTTTTCACTTGTTTTTTTTTCAGGACACCATTAACGATATGTGACCAGCCACTGTTTTCGACAAAGGTGAGGTGAGGTGAGGTGAAATTGGGTTTTTACGTCGTACTTGAGAATATTTCGCTCATATGACGACGTGCATGCGTGTGTATGTGTATGTGCGGCTGCTTGTACTAGCCCAGACTTAAGCTGGTTTTATAGTGCTAGCCCACTGAGATACCATGCCGCAGTGAAGCATGAATACCCCACTCAGACACATTATACTGACTCCGAGCCGACCAGTCCTTGTTGTACCCATTAATGCCGAGCGCCAGGCAGGGACCAACAAGTACCATATTTTAACGTCTTTTGGTATGACGCGGTCGGGGATCGAACCCACGACCTTCCGCTCTCCGGGAGGACGCTCTAACCACTACACCACGGAGGCGGTCTTTCGACAAAGGAACAAGCTTGTATAAAATTACGACCGGCATTTGTAATATTGTCTTTTTACTCTGGTGTTATCAATATTCACGTCACTGTGATCTATACAAAGTGTTAGCGTGTTCATAATCGGACCATGCAGTGATGCAAGCCATGACGTCACAAGAAGAGATCGTACCGATGCTTGAGGGGGCTGGATCGGGGAAGGGGTTGGGGTACATTTAGTTTAAAACAGAATGTTACAAGACGTAGGTAATAGAATTGTTGTTTTCTTGGGATTTTAAGCTTGAGTTTATATATATTCCAGTTCTTCTGGGTGCATATTAAGATCTCAGCCTCCTCACCCTAAACCCCGAATACCGTTGGGTTCACTTAAACGTTACTTACTGCTGACACTACAGATACTGACATCGACGATTGTTTGGACTATGTAACGAATCAACGTCAATCGTTAACCTCACCAACTGTCTATATGATCTCATATGACATGCAAACAAATCAAGCTAATCTACCTTTATAACAAAGTCAAAGGGACCACTGACTTTAGTTCGTCGTTCCCGGAACCCCTGAAGCTGCGGGTTAGAATTGATCTTCAGTAACCCATGCTTGTCATAAGAGGCGATTAGCGGGATCGGGTGGTCAGGGCCCCGTTTCACAAAGCTCTCGTAAGCCTAAGATCTCGTAACTTTTCTCGTAGCATTCGTACCTCCTATGTTACAGTATAGGAGGTGCGAATGCCTGAAGAAAAGAGCCCATCTTGACTTGGTTGGTC